AGAGGCGGTTTCGCGGGAAATTTTGGCGGGATTTTTTTCATTTTTTAATGAATCATAAAGAAAACATCCTCGCTCTTGCAAAAAAATGCAAAGACTGTAAAAAAATCTACGAGACATTGGTAAAATGCTTCGGTATGGATGCTCTTAGCTATTCCACTGTAACGTATCATGTTAGGATGTATCACTTCATGAACAAAAAGGCGCCCATCATAAAAATTGACAAAAAATCGCCGGATCAAAGAAAAATCAAAGCAATTCTTCAAGCGCTAGATGAAGACCCAAGAGCATCACTCAGAAGGATAGAGGAGATGACAAAGATACCACGTACAACAGTCAGTTATTATCTGCACAATTATTTGAACTACAAACTAGCGTATACACGTTGGGTTCCGCACAACCTTAATTCAGTTCAAAAAAAATCTAGAGTCCAATCTTCGAAAGAGCTCCTCTCTATATTGGGTGCGTATCAATCCAAGAAGTTTCGCTTTTTAGTAACAGGGGACGAGTCTTGGTTTCAATATGCAACAGAAGCCAAAATCATGTGGATCCCGAAGGATGAAAATCCGCAAACATTCCCGAAGAAAAAAATTGACACACCAATGATGATGTTGTCGGTTTTTTGGGGCGTGAATGGCATCATCGCAATTGATATTCTTCAAAAACCTAATACGATGAATGCTCAGTATCTAATTGACAATGTTCTTACTCAAATTATCAATTCTGATGAGTTTGAGAAATCCAAACAACAAAAACAAAAGTTTGCAATTCATTTTGATAATTCAAGAGTTCACAAAAGTCATAAGGTAATGAATTACTTGGTGGAAAACAATGTCAAAGTTGTTCCAAACCCAATTTATTCACCTGATATTGCACCCTCTGACTTTTATTTATTCGGCACGCTAAAAAAGAGAGCTGAAGGACGCGAATTCGCGAGTCCAGATGATCTTGAAAATTTTGTAAGAGAGCAATTTGAGCAATTTTCTCATGATGATTTAAAGCGTGTCTTTCAAGCCTGGATCGATCGCTGCGAACGCGTGATTGAATCCAATGGTGATTATATTTAAATAAACTTTATATATATGTAACTTGTTTATTTCTATTCGCAGTATTCAGGTTTGTGCTAAACACACCTTTGGACACCCTATACTAAGATATATTTACCTATTAATATTTGTTATTTTTAGGTGATTCAATATCTTGAAAAATTGCTAATAACTTTCTTGTCATCAAAAGGCTTCTCTAACTTAATAGGCTGCCATGTTGATGAAGATTTCTCATTCGTAACAGATACAAAAACATATAAATGCAATAGAGTTATTGCCATTTTTCTTTCAACAGCTGTTGCAAAAGCAATAAAATCTGATGCATCATTAAACGAGTTTAAAATCAGCGACCCTATGAATTGCTTCGAGATAATATATAAATCATTACAAGGAGAACCTTTATCAATTGATGTTTCAAACGCAGATCTGATTTTTGATGTCGCAAATCAACTTGGGAATTCAGAAATCGCTGAGATTGCATTAGAATACTTACAACATGAAATTGATGCATTTTCAGTTATTTGGAAGATAAAAGCAAAATTTATTTTAAATATAAGTTTCAACAAAGAATTAGAATACGCTATAAACAACATTGACAAGATAAATCTCAAGGAATTATAAACTCTCGCCTTCAATGATTACATTAGAACTATGGAAATCATTGATTTACAAGCTTGGTATGAATAAAGAATCTCTTCCAGAAAATAAAAACGAATTTGTTCCAAACCAAGAACCAATCAAGGAGCCAAAAGATTTATTCAAAGGAGTATTCTACACTCTCAAGATGAAATACAAATCTGCTGATTTAGTTAATGATAAAATTGTTGAAATCACATCAACAACAGGAGACACAACTAATCTGAGCAGAATATTAGATCCAAATAAAATAGATTACTTTATTACATCAATTAGCAAAATTACTGAAAATTCACCTGCAATTATTTTCCATTTTATGACAGAAAGAGTTTCGAATCAGCTTATACCATAAAGACATCATACTATAATAGATATACTAATCATATGGTTAGCTGGGCCATTGAAGGTTCAAATGATGGAATTCATTGGGATCTCTTAGACAATTTTTTTTGTATATTCTATAGAGTCTTGGTTTCAATATGCAACAGAAGCCAAAATCATGTGGATCCCGAAGGATGAAAATCCGCAAACATTCCCGAAGAAAAAAATTGACACACCAATGATGATGTTGTCGGTTTTTTGGGGCGTGAATGGCATCATCGCAATTGATATTCTTCAAAAACCTAATACGATGAATGCTCAGTATCTAATTGACAATGTTCTTACTCAAATTATCAATTCTGATGAGTTTGAGAAATCCAAACAACAAAAACAAAAGTTTGCAATTCATTTTGATAATTCAAGAGTTCACAAAAGTCATAAGGTAATGAATTACTTGGTGGAAAACAATGTCAAAGTTGTTCCAAACCCAATTTATTCACCTGATATTGCACCCTCTGACTTTTATTTATTCGGCACGCTAAAAAAGAGAGCTGAAGGACGCGAATTCGCGAGTCCAGATGATCTTGAAAATTTTGTAAGAGAGCAATTTGAGCAATTTTCTCATGATGATTTAAAGCGTGTCTTTCAAGCCTGGATCGATCGCTGCGAACGCGTGATTGAATCCAATGGTGATTATATTTAAATAAACTTTATATATATGTAACTTGTTTATTTCTATTCGCAGTATTCAGGTTTGTGCTAAACACACCTTTGGACACCCTATACTAAGATATATTTACCTATTAATATTTGTTATTTTTAGGTGATTCAATATCTTGAAAAATTGCTAATAACTTTCTTGTCATCAAAAGGCTTCTCTAACTTAATAGGCTGCCATGTTGATGAAGATTTCTCATTCGTAACAGATACAAAAACATATAAATGCAATAGAGTTATTGCCATTTTTCTTTCAACAGCTGTTGCAAAAGCAATAAAATCTGATGCATCATTAAACGAGTTTAAAATCAGCGACCCTATGAATTGCTTCGAGATAATATATAAATCATTACAAGGAGAACCTTTATCAATTGATGTTTCAAACGCAGATCTGATTTTTGATGTCGCAAATCAACTTGGGAATTCAGAAATCGCTGAGATTGCATTAGAATACTTACAACATGAAATTGATGCATTTTCAGTTATTTGGAAGATAAAAGCAAAATTTATTTTAAATATAAGTTTCAACAAAGAATTAGAATACGCTATAAACAACATTGACAAGATAAATCTCAAGGAATTATAAACTCTCGCCTTCAATGATTACATTAGAACTATGGAAATCATTGATTTACAAGCTTGGTATGAATAAAGAATCTCTTCCAGAAAATAAAAACGAATTTGTTCCAAACCAAGAACCAATCAAGGAGCCAAAAGATTTATTCAAAGGAGTATTCTACACTCTCAAGATGAAATACAAATCTGCTGATTTAGTTAATGATAAAATTGTTGAAATCACATCAACAACAGGAGACACAACTAATCTGAGCAGAATATTAGATCCAAATAAAATAGATTACTTTATTACATCAATTAGCAAAATTACTGAAAATTCACCTGCAATTATTTTCCATTTTATGACAGAAAGAGTTTCGAATCAGCTTATACCATAAAGACATCATACTATAATAGATATACTAATCATATGGTTAGCTGGGCCATTGAAGGTTCAAATGATGGAATTCATTGGGATCTCTTAGACAATTTTTTTTGTATATTCTATAGAGTCTTGGTTTCAATATGCAACAGAAGCCAAAATCATGTGGATCCCGAAGGATGAAAATCCGCAAACATTCCCGAAGAAAAAAATTGACACACCAATGATGATGTTGTCGGTTTTTTGGGGCGTGAATGGCATCATCGCAATTGATATTCTTCAAAAACCTAATACGATGAATGCTCAGTATCTAATTGACAATGTTCTTACTCAAATTATCAATTCTGATGAGTTTGAGAAATCCAAACAACAAAAACAAAAGTTTGCAATTCATTTTGATAATTCAAGAGTTCACAAAAGTCATAAGGTAATGAATTACTTGGTGGAAAACAATGTCAAAGTTGTTCCAAACCCAATTTATTCACCTGATATTGCACCCTCTGACTTTTATTTATTCGGCACGCTAAAAAAGAGAGCTGAAGGACGCGAATTCGCGAGTCCAGATGATCTTGAAAATTTTGTAAGAGAGCAATTTGAGCAATTTTCTCATGATGATTTAAAGCGTGTCTTTCAAGCCTGGATCGATCGCTGCGAACGCGTGATTGAATCCAATGGTGATTATATTTAAATAAACTTTATATATATGTAACTTGTTTATTTCTATTCGCAGTATTCAGGTTTGTGCTAAACACACCTTTGGACACCCTATACTAAGATATATTTACCTATTAATATTTGTTATTTTTAGGTGATTCAATATCTTGAAAAATTGCTAATAACTTTCTTGTCATCAAAAGGCTTCTCTAACTTAATAGGCTGCCATGTTGATGAAGATTTCTCATTCGTAACAGATACAAAAACATATAAATGCAATAGAGTTATTGCCATTTTTCTTTCAACAGCTGTTGCAAAAGCAATAAAATCTGATGCATCATTAAACGAGTTTAAAATCAGCGACCCTATGAATTGCTTCGAGATAATATATAAATCATTACAAGGAGAACCTTTATCAATTGATGTTTCAAACGCAGATCTGATTTTTGATGTCGCAAATCAACTTGGGAATTCAGAAATCGCTGAGATTGCATTAGAATACTTACAACATGAAATTGATGCATTTTCAGTTATTTGGAAGATAAAAGCAAAATTTATTTTAAATATAAGTTTCAACAAAGAATTAGAATACGCTATAAACAACATTGACAAGATAAATCTCAAGGAATTATAAACTCTCGCCTTCAATGATTACATTAGAACTATGGAAATCATTGATTTACAAGCTTGGTATGAATAAAGAATCTCTTCCAGAAAATAAAAACGAATTTGTTCCAAACCAAGAACCAATCAAGGAGCCAAAAGATTTATTCAAAGGAGTATTCTACACTCTCAAGATGAAATACAAATCTGCTGATTTAGTTAATGATAAAATTGTTGAAATCACATCAACAACAGGAGACACAACTAATCTGAGCAGAATATTAGATCCAAATAAAATAGATTACTTTATTACATCAATTAGCAAAATTACTGAAAATTCACCTGCAATTATTTTCCATTTTATGACAGAAAGAGTTTCGAATCAGCTTATACCATAAAGACATCATACTATAATAGATATACTAATCATATGGTTAGCTGGGCCATTGAAGGTTCAAATGATGGAATTCATTGGGATCTCTTAGACAATTTTTTTTGTATATTCTATAGAGTCTTGGTTTCAATATGCAACAGAAGCCAAAATCATGTGGATCCCGAAGGATGAAAATCCGCAAACATTCCCGAAGAAAAAAATTGACACACCAATGATGATGTTGTCGGTTTTTTGGGGCGTGAATGGCATCATCGCAATTGATATTCTTCAAAAACCTAATACGATGAATGCTCAGTATCTAATTGACAATGTTCTTACTCAAATTATCAATTCTGATGAGTTTGAGAAATCCAAACAACAAAAACAAAAGTTTGCAATTCATTTTGATAATTCAAGAGTTCACAAAAGTCATAAGGTAATGAATTACTTGGTGGAAAACAATGTCAAAGTTGTTCCAAACCCAATTTATTCACCTGATATTGCACCCTCTGACTTTTATTTATTCGGCACGCTAAAAAAGAGAGCTGAAGGACGCGAATTCGCGAGTCCAGATGATCTTGAAAATTTTGTAAGAGAGCAATTTGAGCAATTTTCTCATGATGATTTAAAGCGTGTCTTTCAAGCCTGGATCGATCGCTGCGAACGCGTGATTGAATCCAATGGTGATTATATTTAAATAAACTTTATATATATGTAACTTGTTTATTTCTATTCGCAGTATTCAGGTTTGTGCTAAACACACCTTTGGACACCCTATATTAAGAATCAGCATAACTATTTACTATGTGTATGAAGTGATGTAACGTGGTTGCGTTGATCTATAAAAAAGAAGAAATAGATTTGTCCATATTAAAAGATTTTTAACATCAGATGATCTTTATCATCCGAATATTTATTTGGCGGCAATATGAAAGTATTTTACCTCAATTTTTTACTTTTGTAACTCAATATGGAGAATTTTTTTCAAATTATAGAACTATTTGAAATACAATAGAGACCAACACTGATATGGAAGTATAGGATATCAAATAACCTTTATAATGGTAATACTATGATGAACAAATGCTAAAATCTGACTCGGTTATAATCAAATTTTTGATCTCAGGGAAATTGAAATTTAATATAATTTGTCATTTGTAAACTATACAAAATTGAGAGAAAACACATCAAAAAAATTTTTGAAAGGAACTTTTTTTTAATTAAATTTTTAATAGAGACTTTTGACGAAATTAGATAAATCTTTTCTGTCCTGTCTCTTTATATTATCAGAGAAACCAGTTTCTACAATAGACATCATGTGGTTCTGTGTGTATCTCTTTGCATTTTCGACAGCCCATTTCTTGAAATCTTCAATTCCAAGGAAATATGCTTGAACAAATCCAGCAACCCATGAATTGTCAGGCTGTATGCGCTTCTTAGTAACATTCACGTAATCGTGTGCCATATTCCTGAAATCACTCAACATGGCTGTTCGACCTTCAGCTGTCACTTTTTGTATCGTCGCGAGATCGTTGATGAAAGAGAAAGAAGAGTAATTCCACAAGGAAGTTAAGATCTCATCCTTATGGTCCTGTGCAAGTTTCATCTCATCTACCTGTTTTACGAAGGAAGAAACGTTTTCTGTCCACAATTTAGTGAATGGATGTGGATCTAAAGGTGGTTCGTTGATTGTCCACTTAGTATTCTTTACCTGAGTGTCGAACTCGGTCAGATTGACCATACTTGGCCCAAAGAATGGGAAGCAGAACGAAGCAAACGACTGGAGGAAAATTGAAACTACATCCGAAAAGAATCTACGCAAAGCACCGAGAGAATTCTCTGGTAGGCTTTCTTCTATGAAGCTTCTGACGCTCCTCAAGTACCAAGCAACACCTTTCATGTTGTCAGATGCAGCAGATGCCTGATCCAAGGTTCTTAGGAGCTCCGGAGCCACCTGGCTTTCTGTAGGATATACGAGCTGTATATCCTGAAGGTGGTGGATCACTCTGGAGAGGCAATCCATACCATCAGGAGTTAATAGTATAGAAAAGCTACCGTTGAAGTTAATCTTACCGAGGTTCGTCATCTCGAGAGGCTTAAGAGGTGCGTTTTTATGGAATAAGTGCAAAGCGGCAAGCGAATAATACTCTACAAGCTGTTGAATGCCTTTAAAGGTTTCTGCGGCCAATTTCGGTACAGCCTTCATCAACGATAAATATTGGTGGATGAATTTGAGTACGTTTGAGCATGAATTTGTCGTCTTTGAGTGGTCGAATTCATAAGCCGGGGAAACATTGATACTTGTCATTCCTGTTGATGGCTTATCGCCAAAGGCATCACTGTTCTCCTTGATTGGTATCGATAATGTGAGAATACTACGTTCAAAACTCGAATCTGACGGACATCTGTCCCAAGAATCTGTTTCTAGGACTTCTCGGACTGCTTCCATTGCGTTCTTGTGGAAGAGCTTGAAATATTTGGTGGTTATCGTATCCATGGCCCCTGATAATTGACCACCTGGCAAATCTACGACAGTTGCACCGAATTGGATGAAGCTGGTCGTTGATTTGATGAGAGCGTCGAAGTTCTCGAAGTTCAATTTGTCAATGGGAGCCTTCAAAAGTAGTTGTGTAACTTGACATTCGGAATTATCCCATAATGTCTTGGCCATCGACTCAATGGACTTGCGGATGGGTTCGTAATCGGAAGATCCTCGATGCCAGAGTACAATTTGCTGGTGTATACGGCTGACATTTGCGGATGCGTCGATAAATTTTTCGTAAACAGCTCGGAAAGCTTTAGCTCTTGACACATCTGCACCGAGCATAATCTTGTCGTGAGCGTCTTTGTAGTTGTTAAGGAATGCTTCTTGTAGTTTTTGAGGAACTGTGTTTATTTTGTTAATTATCTGGTAGGAATGCATGAGATTGGCGTAAATGTTTCTGTCGAAGGTAGTAGCCATGCTGACAAGGGTTTTATCCATCTCTTCAAGTACTCTTGCGTACATATTTTGAAGAGATGAAATTAAGTCTTCGACGCCGCTGAGAGCACGTATTTCTGACTTTAGATCGGCTGGTTTAAGGCAGAGATCAAGGGCTTTGACGAAGTCTTTGTTTGCAATCGCTTGATTTAGCTCGTCTGTGCTCTTAAATATTTGATTGACAGCAGCAACAAGCTCTATAACTGATGCCAAGTTTTTCTTCTTGACAATCTGTCTAAAGAATACACGTGGTGTCTCGGAAATTTCTGTTTCTGCGGCAAGCATAACTTGGCGTGTTTGTCTGACATTGGATGTGGTAAGGTTGAGTTGTCTGTTGAGTTCTGAAATCATTTGCATTGATTTAAGGTATGTATTATAATTTGCAAGTAAATCTTTGTTTAATGATCTGGAAATCATATCTAAGGCTTCACTCTCGCCTTGTATTCTGTCAGTTAAGAGTTGATCGAAGTTCGGATCGTCGATAGAAGGTATCAATGCGATAGTTTCTGCAATCGGATCTTCTACATCCTTAGCAAAAAACTTTTCTGGAACATATTGTTTGATTAAATCAAGTTGGTCGTTAGAAAAATGATCATAAGGTATCTTAATCTCGCCTTCTTTGTCGGGAGATTTTGATGCCATTGAAAATTAATTTTTATTTTCTTCTCACGCTACGAAAAGTGACATAAGAAAAAAAATTGATTTGATTCTCTATCAATTCAAACACTTTTAAAAATGCGTTCGCGTTAATGTGGAGGATTGAATTTTATCACATTTAACTTAAAAGACTCAAATGTCATAATTTTTCATTTTGTTTTGATGCTATTAGATCTTAGAAGAACGCAAGGCAGCAAACAAGTTCTCTGTCTCTCTTGAAATTTATTCCATTTCATCAGAGAAAGCAAAAAAGAAATATCACCAGCAAATCATCATCGACAGATCTAGTAGAGCAATAGTGATGATATGTACTTTAATTTGTATATGGCTATGTACTTATACTATAATAAATATACTCTATCCTGAATATCAAGTTCTTCTTCTCAAATCAACTTCAATTTCCATTGGTATCTTATGTTTGAATATCAAATATAGTTACTCATTCTTATTTTGTATAAAGTTTGGGATTTCAAATTTTATCTGAGTTCAGATTAATTAATTGATATGAAATGAATGTAAATTATGAATTCTTTTATAAAACTATTGCAAACATTCAGTTTTATCTTTACAAATCTTATTCTGAACAAAGATTTATCCATTTATCAAAAATAATTCTCGATTTATGATGAATGTATTATAAGAAACATGTTTCATAAAAGTTTACTTTTTTTGATGTGACTTCCTTAGATTCACTATAGATAGCATCCGTCTTCCAAGATAAGTTTCGACATGTTTACGATTACCCGTGTCTTGATGACCTGCATACATGCCACCCTATTAAGGTCGACTTACCAACTGGAAGTTACCTTTTCGAACTTTGGGGTGCCAGCGGTGGCAACCTCTCCTCTGTTGCAGGCGGCTTTGGTGCTTACACCTCCGGTGTTATCAGGCTCTTCCACACGCAGACATTCTATCTTTACGTTGGCTCCCATGGAACGCAGAGTGACACTCAAAACCCATATAATGGGGGCGGTTCAGGAGTGAATACTTTAGACTCGTCCAGCGGTGGTGGCTGCAGCGACATCCGACTTAAGAACGGCACTGACTTCGAATCACTTAAATCCAGAATCATTGTCAGTTCTGGTGGTGCTGGAGCAGCCAAGATTAGAAACAAATATGCCACAGGAGGTAGCGGAGGTATTTATTCAGGATACAATGGAAGTAAAGCAGTTGAATCATATGAGGACAGTATTACCATTTCTGAAGGAGGTCAACTTGATAGAGGTGGTATTGCTTCGACTGGAACGCACTCAAATGGCTTTGTATCAACAGGGCTTCCAGGCGAATTTGGAAAAGGTGGGAATGTCAGAATAGTAGGAATTTATGGATCCGGGGGCGGTTGTGGGTATTTCGGAGGGGGTTCAGGTGATGATGGATGGGATTCTATCACATCTGGTGCTGGTGGATCGTCTTACGTGTCTGGATATAAAGGATTTATGACGATTGATGAATCATCAGTATCGAAAACTAACTTCAGAATGTTAAATACACCATTCCATCCTAGCGGATTTTATTTCTCTGATGTTAAAGTCAAAGACTATCAGAGTGAATTCCTTTCTCCATACGGCTACAAAGAATCTGGCCATACCGGTCATGGTGCAATTGCTATAACACTTCTCTATACTGTTCAATACTCATGTAATATTTTATACTCTTTTCAGCATCTCTCATATTCTTCTTTGTTTGTAATGTTTCTAAAATAAATAAAAAAAATTCACCTTTGTACAAATTGCTGTGGAGGAACTGCTCTTTGAATTGCAACAAAAAAAATTCAGCTATGCCGATCTTGTGACAAAAAAGAGCCTTGAAATAACTGCTTTTAATAGAGCAAGAAAACTTATTTCACATGGTCCAAATATCCTTATTTCTCATCAAATAGAATTAAGATGTAGCAAAAAAGAAATAGCCTAGTTACTTCTTTTTTGTACTGCAAATCTCAATAGTCGAAAGCATTTCAGAAAAATAGATATCTAAAATTAAAATATTTTTGATGACGAATAGTGTACCTTATTATAATTTAACTTGTGCTTTATTGATAAATTATGTAAACTATTCAGTCTTATTTCAAAAAAAAAAATATCAGAATTAATTCTAGATATTATCAAATCAATATATGTAAAAGTCTTAGTATTTCTCATAAATAATATTCAAGAGTGCTATCAAGTTAGAATCAGAGTGTAATATCAATAAAGATAAGTATTTTGTTTGAAATGTAAAAAATAGAAATTCACATGTCAGCTCAGTTGATTTTATATGAGACTTATATAGTTATAATGTCATTGAGAGTAATAAAAAAAATTAAATTAATTTGATGTTTTTTTCTTAAATCAATATGTGAACTCGATTCTACAAGAAGCAGAATACAGATACATTAGTAGAAAAGCGATAAAAACTATCATTTATGTAAAACTATCACTACCGGGTTGAAAGAAAACGAAATCAAGACGAATAGTGATTCTATTGAATAAGACAATTAAATATATGATGATAAAATTAATAAAAAATCAGAATTGATTGTGTCCGAAATGGAGCATTGTCCTTATTGAATCGCAATATTTCTGTTCAAGTTTATGGTAAATAATAAAAGAGTATTGATCTGCTTTTTGTGGGTGGTTGGACGATTGAAGATGAAAAAATAGAAATTGACTGACCATTTTTGTTCGAAATGAGATATCATGCATATGTTAAGAATATTTAATGGAATAGAAAGTTGAAAAATGCTGAATTATGATAATTTCATAAAATAACTCGAAATTTATGAAATTATTTAAATTTCAAATGCGTTTCTGACTAAATAAATTGATGGAATTAATAATTTTCGTACAGACCAATTAATGAAGTGAAACATTGGCAACTTACAATTTTACGATTATTCTTTTGAGAGGAAATATTAAAAGTGGTCAAATTTTACTTCGGATGATATGGATGTATCGTCATATATATAATAATTTTAAACCATTTATTATTGCAAAAAGTTTTGTAAACCTCTCATTTCATTTTATGAAAACTTATTGCAGTTTGAATCGAATAAATATTTTTATAGATTACCACAATAGTAGGAATTTGATTTTATAAAAATCTAATGTGCAGTTCACTGGTTAGATAAAAAAATGGATTTATGAAGGATTATAGGGCTTTCTCCCGATACCATACAAGAATCACCATTAAAAACAAAGTTTCGATTTTGTCCATCGTTGGAAAAAATTATATGAATTTTTTTGAGAGCTCGATTTCATTTCACTTCTGATTAATGTCCTGGAACGATCAGCTCGTCTCTCTTAAGACAGAATCCTCTGGCTGCGCTATCATCACACAACAAGGTGCCCTTTGCGCTAAGGAAGGCGCCTGGAAGGCCACACAGGACGAACTCCTTAAGTACATCACATACTTCACAGAGCCATCCCCAGCTCTCTCTGGCTTATACTATGGTGGCGAGAAGTACATCTGCAACCAGGCTAACGCTGATATGGTCTTCGCCATGAAGGGCAAGCAGGCTGTTGTCCTCCAGAAGACAAAGACACTCATCATCGCCGGCTACACAGATGGCCAGTTCCATCCAGCTGCCCTTTCTGCCTCCGTCGGCAAGGTCGCTCAGTACCTCACATCATCTAACCTCTAAACAAGTTTCTTCGGAAAACCTTTGACTATAATTACAACACCATTTTTACTCATTTTTTCACCTTTGCTTGTGAAACATGCTTCTTAATTAACTTAATCAAGTTTATTAAGAAGTTATTACTTCATTGTGTTTAGTTATTATGTATGTCTGAAATCTTTGTATTCGATACCTTTCATTCCTATTTGCTCGAGTCATCAACTTCTTAGATACGAAATCTGTTTAATAACATTTTCCTGTTGGCAAGAAAAGGACCTTAGGATTATGTTTTACAACACGACAGAGATGAGTTTAGTTGACTCTGATTTCATCTAAGCCATGTATTTCTCAATACAGTTCATTTCACATTCGTCGCACAGTATGAATTCGACTTAATTACTTATATCGCTCGCATAATCGTTGTTACTACTTATCAAATAACTGTATCGGCGCCACCAATTTCTAAACAAAACATTCCGCCAATAAAATGTCTAGATACATGAGGCTTTATTCGTTAAGAAAACTCATTGATTCGCTCAATACATTAGTAAAATAGTCTCGATAATCAAAGATCTTTTACATTTACTAATATTTGAATGAACTAAGACCTTGTAGAAAAGATAGGAGTTTTAAAAGATAACCTTTATTCTATTATAATAAAAATATAAATACTGAGAAAGAAGAATAATAAAAAGAAAAAGAGAAATAAAAAAATACAAAATTATTCAAATCTGGCTGCCGAATAAACCTTATCCATGAAGAAAGGTGAACCAGTGAAATCACAACCTTCAAGGAAGAACTTGTGTTTCTCCTTTACAATGAAAAAGAAGATTGTCAACGCTGCGTACATCGAATCTCTTCCTGGGAGTGCGTAAAACCTCTCCACGTTTTGTGTCTTGTACTTACAGAGCACGTAGAAGTTGCTCCAATCGTCGGAACAAAGCATTATGTCATCATCAGTATCTGTTACTGGATTTTCACCGATGTAGACGTATCTCTGCTTGAAAATGAACTGGAGCCTCTTTGTGTTCTTGATTCCACCTATCAAAGATGAAATCCAAACAGATATGATGTGGAGAATGATCTGATTGTCACTTGGAAGCTCATTCGTCCATTCCCTTTCATTCCAGCGGTCGCCACGATCGCCAAAGTGGCCGGCCAAATAAGCAGCTGAAGCCAAAGTATTAATACGGTGAAGAACGTATTGGCTGCAATGTTCGTAGTTAGGGATTGATACCATAGCTTCGACAACGTTGTCCGAGAGGCCAAGCTTCGATGAAAGTTTCTGTAAAACGCTTTTTTGAATAAAAGCTTTCATATTCACAAGATATTTGTTGAATTTGACGGAACTGAGACCGAGAATGTTCAATGTGTTGCCGGCCAATTGATCTATGCTTGTATCTTGGTCAAGTCTGAATTGAGAATGTTGTAACGAAGATTTTGGACGATCTGAGATAATGTATGGGCGGTAAATGTTCGTAGGGGCTTGTATGTTAGGAAGATTTGAATTATATGTTGGTTCTTTGGCGAAAATGCTCGATGGAGAAGATGGAATTGCAAATTCTGTTTTTGGTAAGGCTGCATTAAGAGAATAGGTATGTATTGGCATTTTGGTCTTCTGGTCATGCCTTGAGAAGGCAATAATTCCTATAACCGTGAGAATAAAACTGATTAATGACACAAAAAGCGTAAAATCTGGAAAAACATTGATGAAAAATAAAAATAAGAAAACAACAAATGTAGCTGCACATACAATGATATACATTGCGCGTTTTTGATTTGGAGAATGAATCTTTTTGAAATATTGATGTCTGGAATTGATTTGTGTCGGTGTTATTGCTTGCTTTGTATTGGTCTGTGATTTGTAAATGTTCTGCGAAGAGAAAATTTTTGATAAATTATCGTTTTCTTTGGAATCTGTTGCAGCTGGCTTATTTATCCTTAATTGAATGTCTTCATACCTTGTTAAAGGTAATGTTGAGTATGAATCTTGTTGTAATTGAAAAGTTGGTGATAAAGACGCTAGTTTACTTTCGGTCATTATAAATAATCGTTTTCCCTTCAAATTATTTTTGCTCTTCTCAGATTTTGATTTGATGGATCCAATTTATTGAGATTATTTCATAATTTTGGATAACTATTCGAATCAAAAGTTAATGGTTGGCATTTGAACCAAAATCTAATTCAAAAATTATTCAAACTTGAAAAAGCAACTAGTAAATACTGTATTATCAGCTCAATTTCCATAAGTATTCTGACCCTTGCATAAAACCAATGCAATTCACTCTTATCCAATAAAAAATTTGAATCATTAAGCATTCTCAATATCACAATAAAGACCAAATGCTAATTAGTTTATAAAGAAAGGTATTTTGTATTTGTTCATAGACAATAATTTGATTATGTATAAAATTTTAATGCATTTTATAAATAGAGTTTGAATTGAAGTGCATTGTATGAACTACGAGTTTCTGGTGTCACATATATTATGTTCATATGGTTTATTCATAAAGTTCTCGTTCTCTTCTATGACCAAAAAGTGCTCGTTTAAAATTAAAAAAAATGTTTGAAGAACTTCTGGAGAATCCAAAAGAATTTGTTGATAGACTTGCTCAAAATGAAACTGATGCACCTGATTTAGGCATTAAGAATCTTCTTGATCAGTTCATTCAGCAAAATCCGCAAGAATTGGAAAAAATACCATTGATATGTAACCTTGAAGGAATGAATTCTACAGTTCCTGGATCCCTCGTAAGGGTCAGATGCAGTATTATTAATTCCAATATCAAAGAATACTTTCCCTTCAGGTACTTAAGTGATGGTACTTACCATTCTTGCCTTATCGACGAAGAAATATCTGGAACTCCACAAGATATCGATCCATCATGCCTTGGAGAGCGTTATATCTATACTGCTTTCTCTGTAAGGCCAATGACGAATTGGCTCTTGAAAGAAAGTGCTGTTACAATAAACAAACGTAAAGTTCCCACATTATCTGAAAAGAAAAATACAAAAGAAGTCCTCAAAAACACTCAATTCGATATGATTGTAAAAACAGCTTTCGATTACAAGATTAAAAACACTTTCGATACAGTTGATGTTATTGGAGTGTTTTCCACAGCCGAATACGATCATATCGCAATGAGAGACATACCAAAAGAAGTGTATCCAACAATTCTTGCACTAACCATCGTAGAAAGTACAAACTATACGAAAAGTTTACCAGATCCAGCAATTTCTTTGGTAGAACAAAGGAATTTGGCTCTTGAAGTCCTCTCTTCTGCCTTAGAACCTCATCAATCTTTGATTGTTCTTCTTTGGCTTCTTTCTTTCTATACTCATTCGGTTGCTGGAACAGCTTTTGGATCATTCAGCCTAAACTTAACAGGAGCAACTTACGAACAAGCGCTAAAACTCAAAGAAGTTCTCGAAAATATAATTCCATTGTCGAAATACATTGATTTCAATCAGGAAAGTCTTTCTGATCAGAAATTCGTTACGGAAATTACAGATGAAGGTGTTTTTGGAAATTTAATCGCTTCTTCTGGATCAAGGTTTATAATTGACGAAACTCAACTCCACGAAGGCAATTTCAATAAGAATGGTACACAGAACTTAATGATACTTAACAATCTCATCGAAAATCAAGTTATTCCAGTAACATATCACGATAGTCCAGAATTTTACGATATTAACGCTAATTACAGAATACTTGGGCTTTCTTCTTCGAAATCCCTTCTCAAATACGATATTTCTGTCCCTATTGGCAATTTAATAGAGAATTTATCAGAATTTACTGAAGAACAGTTAAATGTTGTTAGGAAATACATTGAAAATCAAACTCTGTCTGATAAATTGGAGTTTAATAAAGAAAGAGAACAAATTGCGAATAAGAAGCTTGCTGAATGCATAACAACGCATAAACTTTCTCAGGAAAGAGCTCAACTTCTGTTTTTGTTCTTCCTTTTGAATGTAAGTTCTTATGGAGACGAAATCAACTTCGAATCTGCTCTTGACGAAGCAATAGAACTGTTTTTCTCTTTTAATCAATAAAATATTTGTATGTATAATAGATTTGTTTTAGCGATGAAGATGTATTCTTTGTTTTTTATAAATATTTTTGATTTTAATTTGGATCACTCTAATTTATGAGTGAATTCTAGATATCTATGGTAAAATAACTCTAATTAGATACTGTTCGAAGTCACAAATATTTCAAATTTTTTTCGAAAAAAGAATTATAAAATTAAAATTCTAGAAAATTTTCTTCATTTTATCAATTTTGAAATATTTTTGGTAATTTTAAATGCTATGAATAGGTTTATTATTAGCAATAATTCAAATTATTTATCAATCAAATCTATATTTTGATATTTCGCTATTCATAGTTATTTAATTCATGTTCTAAAGGCTAAAGATTAAAATGTTTGTTTATAAACACAACAAATGTGAAAAGTATATCCATAAATGGTTTTTGTTAAAGTCACTAAATTAATTGGAATGGTTTTTTAACAAATAAAGACAGAATTTGAAGATTGTAAACTTTCCATTTAGAATAAAAAACAAAGGAATATTTACTTTAGTTACGCTCGCCACGGATACGTTGAGCGAGTTGGACATCACGTTCCATGATTGTAACTCTGTTAGCATGGATAGCGCAAAGGTTTGTATCTTCGAAGAGACCGACAAGGTAAGCTTCAGAAGCTTCTTGAAGGGCAGCAATAGCAGAGGACTGGAAACGAAGATCGCCACGGAAGCCAGAAGCGATTTCTCTGACGAGACGCTGGAATGGAAGCTTACGGATAAGGAGATCTGTGCTCTTCTGGTACTTACGGATTTCACGAAGAGCGACTGTACCTGGGCGGAAACGGTGCTGCTTCTTTGCGCCCTGGGAATCGATTGTTGGTGTTGACTTGCGGGCGGCCTTGGCACCGAGGGACTTACGTGGGGTCTTGCCACCAGTAGACTTTCTAGCTGTCTGCTTTGTACGAGCCATTCTTGAAAAGAATGAACTAAATTGACAGATTAAAAAGTTCTCAATTTTCCCGCCAAAAATTGCGATACCCATTTTAGACCCAAAAAAATTTGAGATAAAAATTTATCTAATACAATTTATTTAGTGGGTGTGATTTGGCAAAACTCATAATAAGGCGCCATTTTGAAAAGTGCAAAAGGACTTCATAAGTTATAATGTCCGGCCGCGGTAAAGGTGGTAAGGGTCTTGGTAAGGGTGGTGCTAAACGCCATCGTAAAGTAATGCGTGAGAACATTCAGAGTATCACAAAGCCAGCTATTCGTCGTCTCGCTCGTCGTGGTGGTGTCAAGCGTATCTCTGGTGATATCTATGAAGAAGTTCGTGGTGTCCTTCGTCACTTCCTTGAGAACGTCATTCGTGACTCTGTTACATACACAGAACACGCTCGTCGTAAAACAGTTACAGCAATGGATGTCGTCTATGCTCTCAAGCGCCAGGGCAAGACACTCTATGGTTTCTAAACTAAAATTGTCATGTTCTTGATTTAATTATTCCTTTTTTAAATTTTAATATTTTCTAAATTCTGTATTGAAATTATTAAAAATTTGAGGGCTCTTTATGAGATAATATAGGTAATTGGGATCCAATTCATTCAAATTAACAAAAATATCATATGTTTATTGTTATTTGAAAGCTGAATATCATATAACATGATGCTTAAAATTAATGTTTATGTTTAGAAGGATGTAAAGAAGGTTGACCAGAAAATAAATTAGAAATAGAAATATTTGGAATGTGAGTATTCAAGATTAATTTAATTTTTATATATTCTCGGTTTTCACATAAAAATGAAGAATATAAATTAGGGAGAAAGATTTCTGTCATTGACTTTGAACTGTGAATATAATTTTTATTTGTTTCGAATGTATTATCTTCAAAATGGCATTCATTTACAGTAGGTGATGCTGAATCAATATAAAATAAATTAGAAGCTTTGTTTCCTTTGAAGAAACTTTTATTTACTGAAAGTGTAACAGAATTGAGATAGAAAATTGCGTGGTTATCTGAAACTTTGTTATCAATAACGTTACAAAAATCGTAAATTTGTGTTTTAGATTGATGATAAAAACAACATTGTTGATTTGATGAAATATTATCGAAATTACTAAAATTTGTTGTTGAAATAGAAAATGGATCAGAGCTAGAAAATGCTGCATTTGCATCTATATTTGAATCAGAGATATTTATTGAAAGAAATAGAATAGATCCAGAAGAATGATATAAAACTGACATACGTCCTGTATTTTGAGTGAATGATGATTCGATAACAAAATTCTTATGGTTATCGTCATTAGTCACCCAAATATATGAATGAGATCCTAAATTATCTGATTTAGATTCATAACTACAGACTTTGTATTGAACAAATGATCCTTCTCCTGATAATGATGATGACATATATATAGATCCTCCATCACTTTCATTAGAGGAACAGTTAATAAAAGAAGAAGTTGAAACAAGTACTTTTGTACTATCATCTGGATAAGTGATTCGAATGACACCTTGTGGACTAAAATTTTCGAAAAGAACGTAACCAACAAAGACGTGGCTGTTTTCTGTGACTGTTCGACTTGTATTAACAAATTTAGCATAAGTTGCAGGGTAATAGAACCTATGCCAGATATCATATGAAGGTCCTGAGGAATGAAAGCATACATCCATTCTTCTATTCCCGAGATTTTCTTTTTCTTCTTCAAACAAATATGATTTTCAATGGTTTACACTCAATCAGACTGAAATTTCTAATTTTGATACATAATGACATGTGTTGGATGGGGGAGAAAGCAACTTTTCCTCAGAAAATCATTCGGATCATGACAATGGACCCTTAGAAAATAATTATCCAAACAAATTTGAAGTGGTTGATATTCCAAATACATATATTTTTAATACGACAGTTCCTGTCGGTGGAAAAAAACAAAAATAAACATAGAATCATATATATCTAATTACTTCCTTTTCTCTGAAGGATTCGTGCAAGTTTTCCATGGTGATATGAAACAATTCTTGCAATTTCTTCATCATCAGGAAGGTTTGATCTAAATGTATTGACATTTTCTGAAATATAATTTCTAAAATAAACTTCATCCAACAGGAAAGCGTGAACGGCAGCGTTGCTACTGACATTTCCTGTTTGTGCAATCAATCCCAGTATTCTGGCTGACATTTCGTCATTTTCGAATTGAAATTCGTTGACGATTTGCAAAATTTGGTCAAAATTAACATTTGTAGCACCTTTCAAGAAAGCGTGAAGCAACACACAACTTGCATTCATGAAATACGGCATCTTCTTCTCCAAAACATCATAAGCAACAATCAAACAATCGTCAAAATCTTCAGAATATCCAAGTTTTTGAATAATTTTGGACAAACTGTCAAAAGATGAACGTTTAAGTTCTGGATTTTCCTCAAAACAGTTCTGTGCAATCAAATAAATGAAGTCATCGAACTGTTCTTGGGTATAAAAACCAACATTCATCATAAAATAACTTAAACTGACAGCTGAGCAGCTTTTAACGATTGTTTCTTCGCGAGTAATGAAATTCATTAATAGTTCAATGACATTTGGCCCAAAACTCTCTAAGTTTTGTCCCATAACATCTGATATAGTGTTGAAACATTCGAATAATCGCTGTAGGAGGTTCTGCCTTTGCTCAATGATCGATGATTGATCGTTTGGAGAGCTTTGGTCTATCTCTGTCGATTCAATCGCGTTTGAAATCAAATAATTCATCAAAGGATTCAAAATATTAAGAATCTTCTCTTTCGGATTTGATAAAAGACCAAGTTTGATGGCTTGCAAGCATAATGGTGTCAAAATAGGGTTGAAATCTAATTCAATCATTTGACTAACGAATTTTTCGAAATCAAATGCGTATGTATTCTCGATATAGCTTCTAACACTTCCAATTGCTATGTTTACCTCATGATTTGATATCTGTTCAACTAAATTTTGTTCCAAATTTTGATAAATTTCTGAATTTGGATTATTTGTGTAATGATATAAAACACCAAGAGCAAATAATGCATTGCCTTTCGATTTCGAGACAAATGGTGAAGAATCATCTTTGTTTTCTTGAGCAAATATTTCATTTAATAATTTTGCAAGAATTTCTTCATAATTTGCAGCAAATATATCTGGAAATAGCCATATAAGTCTAATCATATACTGTATAACTTCATTGTTCAACTCACTTTCGTTATAATTTTCAATTAATGCTTTAAGCTGTTCAAAAACGTAATTCAATAAACTTGGAACATGCTTAGCTATTGCACATAACAATCTAGGCAAGTAAGTCAGTAAATCTTGATTGGCCAATAAAATATCAAAATCAATCTGCAAATCATTCTCTTCTACAGGCGGCAATGTCATTATTGTGGTCGATAGAAGGGATATCAAGTCACCACAGATGTTACTTGACTGGTCTTGCTGACATAAAAACTCCAAAATCAGTTTAATTACATCTCCGGCATCATTTATAGGCGTATTCTCTTTCATTATCAATATATCTAACACATTTATCACGAATTTGAGGCCTAAGTTGTCGAGATTATTCTGAATTGAAGTTACTAAGATTTCAACCAATTGTTCGTAGTAAGTCATAACAGTTGGGAAGCAATATGATATAAGATCATCCAAAAACAATGATGCAGACTCGAGTTCCCTTGAATTTTCAATACAAAAACCGTTTTGTAAAATTTCCAATGGGAAATTCGCCGAAAAATAGTCCTTGCAAGCGGGGAAACATGCACCAATGACTCTGATAATGTTCGCATAGCCTTTCTCAATGTAATCATTAATGACATACAGTATAGATTCAGGTTCAATGTAAACAGATAAAATTGAAATAATTTTTTCGCAGCTTCCGAAGTCATAAATGTCATCTTCGACCTGCGAAGCAGTCATAGCCAATGAAACTATTACATTAAACATGCTTAGTATGTCGTAACCCTCTCCTCCGGTCATATCCAAAGAATATGAGAGAGCTTTCTTCGCCAACTTGCAAACCGATAAGCGAATTGGTAATTTGATATTATCGGACACAAGAACCTCCATTGAATAGTTCAAAAATTCGGGAGCAAGTAGAGATAAATACGAATAATGCAAATTGAGAACAGCTCCCATTGCTTTGAATACGACATTACATTCCTTTATCGATCTGTTCTGTTCAATACAGCTTGTGACAAGTGTTTTGAGTATTTGATCGAATCCATCGATGTTTTGCCAGTCATCTGGGTTATCTAGTGAGCGGGCTACCTCGGAGAATAGATGTACTGCAGCAATTCTGTTTAATTCTGTGTTTGCGAACATGTATTGCTTGATAATTTCTGAAATATGAGGAAATAGTTCGATTTGAGAATCCACTGATAGATTTCCGAATATAGATGCGACAAATGATAAAGCAAATCGTGTTTTGTTTGATTCTTTTTGTAATAAATTGAAACATAATTCTAAAATTTCTGGCCATTGAACGTGCGTCAATAATTCTGCTACAATTCGTTCGAATAAGTTACATAAGTAGTTTAAAATATCGTTATCTGTTTCGTTTTCGAGGATATTAAAAATAATTTCTTTTAATTTTGGAATAAATTCATCATTTTTACAACATTCTACCCAAGTATGCCTTTTTAGAGCTATACACATATAGTTAAGGCAATACATTTTGTAATATGACTCAGATTGATTTGATATAACGTTCATTAGAGCGAAAATTGAGTTTTCATTGTTTAAAAATTGATCTACTTGGGAAGATGCTTCCATTTGCTGTTCTGGATTTTGCTGATCTCTGATAAGATTGATACTTTGCAGTATAAATTCATCAAAATCAGTCATTCCAAAAATACAAAAATTCAAAAAATTGAGTCTTCTTGTTCTTTATTCATAAATATATTTACGTGTTTATGTAGCTTAATTTTCACTAATATATGATTGGCAAAATTTCATTATTTGAGATAAATCTTCATTTGATTCACCCAGAATACATTTTCTTTCTTGTAAAACTCTTATATTCCTAGTACACTATTAATCGGAACTATTATCATCAATTCAAACTCAAATTTTTTCAATGAACATTTTCCAAATGCATGCGAATGCGATATTGTTCAACAACTCAAGATATGCTAAGTATAAATATTTTATTTTCATTGTTAGTTTAGCAATTTAATTTGTCCATTGATCAATTATAACAAGAAAAGTGACAAAATTCAATAGTAATTTTTTTATGATAACATCTTGCTTCACACGCGCTGCTAAACAGTATTCAAAGGATCATTTATGGTTCGATTTAGCAAATAAAGTTGGAAAATTCGGTGTAACAAGCTATAAAGGCTACCATCTTGGAAATATCAAATTCTTAGCTCTTGCTCCAGAAGGCACATACAAGAAAGGTGAAGAGCTTGCTACAATTGAGTCAGATAAGACTATTGAATCAATTGCTGCACCAGTTGATCTCAAAATCACACAAACAAATACAAAACTCGAAGATAATCCAAAATTATTAAAGACTTCTGCAGAGAAGAATGCTTGGATTGCCCAAATAGAGATTTTGTCCGATTTTTCGGAGCCTTTAGTTGATCGTAAGGCATACTTAAAGAGCCTTGAATAAAAATTTTTGACATGTAAAATCGATCAAAATTCAAAGTTTTTTTTTATTTCTACAGGTGTTCTCACTTTATATTTTTAGTTAAACTAAGATCTGAATGAGTGCATTGGCCGTTTCTGGTTGATAAATCCAAAATCTGGGAAAAACCCGTTACGGAAAAAATAATCTTGTACAAAAAAATTGGGTTTCCAACCATGAACATCACAATGTTAAAGTCATCCAATATTGGATATACTATACATTAATTTTCCAGTAACCAAATTCTATCCACTAGCTTTGTTTACAAAAATGTACGTTATTATTCTTCCTGAGTTCTTTTTTTAGATTTTGAAACAATAAAGAGATAGAGTATGATGAATATATAATATATTTACGTTTATTCATAAAAATACCAATTCCATCATAGGGAAAAAGTATTTTCAGGTTTAAGAAATTGAATAGTTTACAAATCTTAATGAGTCAAGGGATTGTTCTGAACTTCGAATATATTGGTTCACATATCAAAGATTACATTAAAGAGAATAATCTCTTTAATATATTCCAAGTAGAAGATATCAGAACTATCATGAAATTCGCGAATTTTACTCCAGATGACTTCAATTCTCTTCTTGAGCAATCAAATTCCGATATTTCAGCGAATAAATTGTATGCCTGCACCCGAAATGCAAATGTTTCAATAAACAACTTACAAGATGCCATTTCAACGCTGAAATCAGTTCAAAAATACATGAAGATGGGAATATTAGGTGGCATTATTGGCATTTTAGATCAAGTACAAAAGGATATATCCAGGTCAACAAATAAAATCGAAGAACTTCAAGCAAATTTAAATCAAGTTCAAAAAGAAAAAGAAAATATTACAAAAGAAGTGCAGAATCTTAAGTCTCAGCTCAAAGAAAAAGAAGGAGATGGTTTATCAAATGAGTTTCTTTCTAAAATTTCTGAACTTCAAAATTCTGAAGATTTCGATCAAATCTACAAATTCTTTGATGAGATTTCAGGAAAAATGAATCAAAAAGAGATGTTTAAAGCATGCAAAGAAGGACTTTGGAAAAAACAAAACAAGAACCATCATGATAAAAATGTTCTTCACGCAGCTTCTTCAAAAGGAAATCTTATACTTGTTAAATCTCTCATTGAATGTGGCTGTGACAAAGAATCGCAGGATGATAGATGTAGAACAGCTCTATTTTTGGCATCTAAAAAGGTCATCTTGAAGTTGTTAAATATCTTATCTCAGTTGGAGCTAATAAAGAAGCAAAGGATAAAAATGGATATACTCCACTATATTTTGCATCTTTTAATGGTCATCTTGAAGTTGTTAAATATCTTATCTCAGTTGGAGCTAATAAAGAAGCAAAGGATAAAAATGGATATACTCCACTATATTTTGCATCTTTTAATGGTCATCTTGAAGTTGTTAAATATCTTATCTCAGTTGGAGCTAATAAAGAAGCAAAGGATAAAAATGGATATACTCCACTATATTTTGCATCTTTTAATGGTCATCTTGAAGTTGTTAAATATCTTATCTCAGTTGGAGCTAATAAAGAAGTAAAGGATAAAAATGGATATACTCCACTATATTTTGCATCTTTTAATGGTCATCTTGAAGTTGTTAAATATCTTATCTCAGTTGGAGCTAATAAAGAAGTAAAGGATAAAAATGGATATACTCCACTATATTTTGCATCTTTTAATGGTCATCTTGAAGTTGTTAAATATCTTATCTCAGTTGGAGCTAATAAAGAAGCAAAGGATAAAAATGGATATACTCCACTATATTTTGCATCTTTTAATGGTCATCTTGAAGTTGTTAAATATCTTATCTCAGTTGGAGCTAATAAAGAAGCAAAGGATAAAAATGGATATACTCCACTATATTTTGCATCTTTTAATGGTCATCTTGAAGTTGTTAAATATCTTATCTCAGTTGGAGCTAATAAAGAAGCAAAGGATAAAAATGGATATACTCCACTATATTTTGCATCTTTTAATGGTCATCTTGAAGTTGTTAAATATCTTATCTCAGTTGGAGCTAATAAAGAAGCAAAGGATAAAAATGGATATACTCCACTATATTTTGCATCTTTTAATGGTCATCTTGAAGTTGTTAAATATCTTATCTCAGTTGGAGCTAATAAAGAAGCAAAGGATAAAAATGGATATACTCCACTATATTTTGCATCTTTTAATGGTCATCTTGAAGTTGTTAAATATCTTATCTCAGTTGGAGCTAATAAAGAAGCAAAGGATAAAAATGGATATACTCCACTATATTTTGCATCTTTTAATGGTCATCTTGAAGTTGTTAAATATCTTATCTCAGTTGGAGCTAATAAAGAAGCAAAGGATAAAAATGGATATACTCCACTATATTTTGCATCTTTTAATGGTCATCTTGAAGTTGTTAAATATCTTATCTCAGTTGGAGCTAATAAAGAAGTAAAGGATAAAAATGGATATACTCCACTATATTTTGCATCTTTTAATGGTCATCTTGAAGTTGTTAAATATCTTATCTCAGTTGGAGCTAATAAAGAAGCAAAGGATAAAAATGGATATACTCCACTATATTTTGCATCTTTTAATGGTCATCTTGAAGTTGTTAAATATCTTATCTCAGTTGGAGCTAATAAAGAAGCAAAGGATAAAAATGGATATACTCCACTATATTTTGCATCTTTTAATGGTCATCTTGAAGTTGTTAAATATCTTATCTCAGTTGGAGCTAATAAAGAAGCAAAGGATAAAAATGGATATACTCCACTATATTTTGCATCTTTTAATGGTCATCTTGAAGTTGTTAAATATCTTATCTCAGTTGGAGCTAATAAAGAAGCAAAGGATAAAAATGGATATACTCCACTATATTTTGCATCTTTTAATGGTCATCTTGAAGTTGTTAAATATCTTATCTCAGTTGGAGCTAATAAAGAAGCAAAGGATAAAAATGGATATACTCCACTATATTTTGCATCTTTTAATGGTCATCTTGAAGTTGTTAAATATCTTATCTCAGTTGGAGCTAATAAAGAAGCAAAGGATAAAAATGGATATACTCCACTATATTTTGCATCTTTTAATGGTCATCTTGAAGTTGTTAAATATCTTATCTCAGTTGGAGCTAATAAAGAAGCAAAGGATAAAAATGGATATACTCCACTATATTTTGCATCTTTTAATGGTCATCTTGAAGTTGTTAAATATCTTATCTCAGTTGGAGCTAATAAAGAAGCAAAGGATAAAAATGGATATACTCCACTATATTTTGCATCTTTTAATGGTCATCTTGAAGTTGTTAAATATCTTATCTCAGTTGGAGCTAATAAAGAAGCAAAGGATAAAAATGGATATACTCCACTATATTTTGCATCTTTTAATGGTCATCTTGAAGTTGTTAAATATCTTATCTCAGTTGGAGCTAATAAAGAAGTAAAGGATAAAAATGGATATACTCCACTATATTTTGCATCTTTTAATGGTCATCTTGAAGTTGTTAAATATCTTATCTCAGTTGGAGCTAATAAAGAAGTAAAGGATAAAAATGGATATACTCCACTATATTTTGCATCTTTTAATGGTCATCTTGAAGTTGTTAAATATCTTATCTCAGTTGGAGCTAATAAAGAAGCAAAGGATAAAAATGGATATACTCCACTATATTTTGCATCTTTTAATGGTCATCTTGAAGTTGTTAAATATCTTATCTCAGTTGGAGCTAATAAAGAAGCAAAGGATAAAAATGGATATACTCCACTATATTTTGCATCTTTTAATGGTCATCTTGAAGTTGTTAAATATCTTATCTCAGTTGGAGCTAATAAAGAAGTAAAGGATAAAAATGGATATACTCCACTATATTTTGCATCTTTTAATGGTCATCTTGAAGTTGTTAAATATCTTATCTCAGTTGGAGCTAATAAAGAAGTAAAGGATAAAAATGGATATACTCACTATATTTTGCATCTTTTAATGGTCATCTTGAAGTTGTTAAATATCTTATCTCAGTTGGAGCTAATAAAGAAGCAAAGGATAAAAATGGATATACTCCACTATATTTTGCATCTTTTAATGGTCATCTTGAAGTTGTTAAATATCTTATCTCAGTTGGAGCTAATAAAGAAGTAAAGGATAAAAATGGATATACTCCACTATATTTTGCATCTTTTAATGGTCATCTTGAAGTTGTTAAATATCTTATCTCAGTTGGAGCTAATAAAGAAGTAAAGGATAAAAATGGATATACTCCACTATATTTTGCATCTTTTAATGGTCATCTTGAAGTTGTTAAATATCTTATCTCAGTTGGAGCTAATAAAGAAGTAAAGGATAAAAATGGATATACTCCACTATATTTTGCATCTTTTAATGGTCATCTTGAAGTTGTTAAATATCTTATCTCAGTTGGAGCTAATAAAGAAGTAAAGGATAAAAATGGATATACTCCACTATATTTTGCATCTTTTAATGGTCATCTTGAAGTTGTTAAATATCTTATCTCAGTTGGAGCTAATAAAGAAGTAAAGGATAAAAATGGATATACTCCTCTATTTTTGGCATCTAAAAAGGTCATCTTGAAGTTGTTAAATATCTTATCTCAGTTGGAGCTAATAAAGAAGCAAAGGATAAAAATGGATATACTCCTCTATTTTTGCATCTTTTAAAAAGGTCATCTTGAAGTTGTTAAATATCTTATCTCAGTTGGAGCTAATAAAGAAGCAAAGGATAAAAATGGATATACTCCACTATATTTTGCATCTTTAATGGTCATCTTGAAGTTGTTAAATATCTTATCTCAGTTGGAGCTAATAAAGAAGCAAAGGATAAAAATGGATATACTCCACTATATTTTGCATCTTTTAATGGTCATCTTGAAGTTGTTAAATATCTTATCTCAGTTGGAGCTAATAAAGAAGCAAAGGATAAAAATGGATATACTCCACTATATTTTGCATCTTTTAATGGTCATCTTGAAGTTGTTAAATATCTTATCTCAGTTGGAGCTAATAAAGAAGCAAAGGATAAAAATGGATATACTCCACTATATTTTGCATCTTTTAATGGTCATCTTGAAGTTGTTAAATATCTTATCTCAGTTGGAGCTAATAAAGAAGTAAAGGATAAAAATGGATATACTCCACTATATTTTGCATCTTTTAATGGTCATCTTGAAGTTGTTAAATATCTTATCTCAGTTGGAGCTAATAAAGAAGTAAAGGATAAAAATGGATATACTCCACTATATTTTGCATCTTTTAATGGTCATCTTGAAGTTGTTAAATATCTTATCTCAGCTGGAGCTAATAAAGAAGTAAAGGATAAAAATGGATATACTCCACTATATTTTGCATCTTTTAATGGTCATCTTGAAGTTGTTAAATATCTTATCTCAGTTGGAGCTAATAAAGAAGTAAAGGATAAAAATGGATATACTCCACTATATTTTGCATCTTTTAATGGTCATCTTGAAGTTGTTAAATATCTTATCTCAGTTGGAGCTAATAAAGAAGTAAAGGATAAAAATGGATATACTCCACTATATTTTGCATCTTTTAATGGTCATCTTGAAGTTGTTAAATATCTTATCTCTACTGGAATTGAAGATAGTGATATATGTTACGCACTCAGCACTGCATCATGGAAAGGCCAACTTGAAATTGTTAAATATCTTCTCTCAATTAAATTTAATAGAGAAGCAAATAAAAATGCTTTTTCTCCAGTACGTGAAGCAACAATATGGGGTCATCTTGAAATTGTTAAATGTCTCATCTCAGCTGGATATGATAAAGAAGGAAATAAGGATGATGATCATGGAGAAACTCCACTCTATCACGCATTATCTCAAGGACATCATGAAATTGCTAAATATCTTATCTCAATTGGAGCAAATACAGAAGTAAAGAATAAATATGGATGGACTCCGCTCATTTATGCATCATATGAAGGTCATCTTGAAATTGCCAAATGCCTTATCTCAGCTGGAGCTAATAAAGAAGCAAAGGATAATGATGGATGGACTCCACTCATTTGGGCATCATCAAAAGGTCATCTTGAAGTTGTTCAATATCTTATCTCTATTGGTGCTAATAAAGAAGCAAAGACTAATGATGGAAAAACTCCACTCATTATTGCATCTGAGAGAGATAAACCTGAAGTTGTTGAATATCTAGTTTCAGTTGGAGCTAATCGAAATGCAAAGGATAATGAGGGAAATACAGCGTATTCACTCGGTTCAAAACGCACAATAAGATATTTATAGGATACCCCAGGACCTGTGAGAATCTCAGTATTAACATGAGATATAGAAAAACTATTTATATCTGAATCTTGGATATGACAAACAATATTTTTATGCAATTGTTATATTAAAATACTTAGATATATTGAGTTAATTTGATTTTTTTATATCTAACATTAAAAGATAAAAAATTGTGATTTTCAAAATTCATTTGATATGATATTTCTATTTATAATGAATTAAGTTAGATTCATTGTGAGTTATTTGTTTGAATGTTTCCATTCCAACCACAGGATGCTGAATCTGATGGAAAATCATTATTCCTTTAAAATTCGCATTGACAACATGTATCCCAAGTCTATGAGGAACACGAACGTTTTCTCCAGATTTTGGATAAGATATAGTGAAATTTGAGAATTTTTGTCAAAAAATTGAGAGATTTTGGAAACTTGTGACAAAAGGAATAAGTACAATGAGATATGATATTGTGAAAATCTCTTAGAATATTATGTATACTTCCCCTCAATTTAAAAGCGAACTTACTCATTTTGTCTCGCAGTTAAAAAAAATTGAGAGAAATCAAAGTCTATTCTAAAGTCCTTTCAAGGACCCGATAGTAGAAGTTTGACCTTGTAGTAAAAAAAAATGACTTAATACAAATTAAAAATAAAATATATATATAATTATACAAATTTAGCGTATTAAGATGTTTACTGGACATTTACAGAGTATATATACAATGAAAGGATTTATAAGTAATATTCATAACTGTTTTTAACATGTTTCAATAGATGTCTAAGATTTTTTGTATAATTGAATGAAAAAGAATATAAGTATTGAGTTTCTTCAACAAAAATTATAAGATAGAAATGTTGAATGGATTTTCATAGATTCAAATGAAATTTGTACATGAAAATCTGTAATTAAGGAAAATTCTTTGATTCATATCGCTGACTTGCGTTTTGTTGGCTTTGTGTCTACATTTTGGTCTCTCATTTGCTGGGCAACCGCTGTTCTCTCATGCAAATCTTCAAGATCTACATATTTAGGAGGGAGATGAATATATCTAACTGCCGATCCTCGAATTAATAACTTCGGGAATTTTGATCCTCCAAGTTGAGGAAAATCTGATGGATTTAATATTTCTACGTTTCTGAGTTCTATATTGAAGTTTTGGGCACAAAACTGCAATGTCCCTTTCATAACAACATCGTTTTTCGTCTCTACAATTATTTGATAGCCTTGCAGTTTCTTTTGAAAAAACTCACAAAACATCAAATAAAAAAGTAAAGGAAGCACATTATACAAGACGATATTTTTATGATATAAAAATATTTGTTATATCCAAAAAGACTTATGACGAGGGATTTTTTCCAATTCAGACTCATTTTGAAATTCGATTGTTGCTGTTTTGAGGATTTTCCTCTAGATGCATAAAATTTTCGCAGTTATCCTATATAGAATATTTGTGAATAGGGCTAATATCCATTGATGATTCTTATTTTTCATAATTTTTATCAATTTTTCTGATTCAAAGGGAATAATTATGTTTAAATAGTAGAATTTTGCTTTGCTGATGAACATATTCTCAAATTCAGTATGTAAAAATAAATAATCAAGAAAGACATTTATTTAACATGATTTAGCTTGGTGAAGTAATCTAGAAATATCAAATTGCTTTGTTGCTTGTCGCTCATACTGGTCGTCATCAGGTTTCGGTACAATTGGAACCTGGAATTTCAACCATCCAGCAACAGGCTGCGACATGTCAGTGTCGTGGCCGTACTTTCGTTTAGAAGAAGCTCCGTCGTATTTATCCGCTGCAAAAACATTAGTTTGAGGTTCGATTGTTTCGGCCATTGTTTCTAGTGGCATTAAGCCATCACCATGGCCATTGACGGGTGGTAGAACAGGTAATGGTAGATGATTCGACGTTTTCTTTGTTGTAATTGCTTGTTTCGGAGTTGGATTCTTTGGTAAAGGTTCTGGGGCTTCTGTAGGGATAGTAAGGATAGTCACATAAGCGTCATCTAACGTATCGTTTTTCTTTGACTTATTTGAACGAATTGACGAAGAATCAAATTGAAATTGCGATTTTGATAAACCTGTTTGATTTTTATTGCTTTCAAGGGGTGTACCTCGTGAAGAAATACCAGAGCGGCGTTTGACAGTAACTGATTTAGAGTCATCGAACCTTTCTGTTGATCTGGAAATTTGAGGTGCAAAAGATTGAGCATCTGCTGCAATCTTTGTCTTTTTCGTACGCTTCTTCGTTGATTTTTTAGATGAATTGGATCCTTTTGGCTCTTTAGACCTTTTTCGCCTTCTTTTCTTTTCTTCTTGCGGTGTATCATCATCTCCAGCTCCAAAAACAATCTGAGGTGCAGGTTCTATTGCTGCTTCTTCTGAACTACGAGTTGACTTTTTCTTAATACTTGATTTTTCTGCTTTTTTCGAAGATTTTGCTTTTTTAACAGATGATGAGTCGTCTTGATTAATTTTTGATATAATTTTCGCTGGTGGAGGTTGAACTGGTGGGAATTCTTTCTTTTGTTTGTTATCACTCGAAGAAGATGATTCTTCTTCTAATTCTGGCTTACTTTTTGAAGATGTATCAGTTGATGACACTTCTATCTTCACACTACTACCAATACGCTTTGTTTTTCGATCGCCATTGATGATATTAGGGTTAATTTGAACTTGAGACATTTTGTAAGTTAAGTTGTCACTTTTATTACTCTGCTTTTACATGTTACCCAATTTTATATAATAAAACAATATAACATCACATAAAAAAGAAAATTTGCTAAAAATCTAAGCTATACGTTTGAAATTTAAATCAAAATTGCCTAATTCAAAGGTTTAGAGCAATATGAAGCTCATTTTAATAAAATAATTTCTATGGATATTAATATTTGATCTATGAAATCATCAAAAAATTCATTTTTGATGAATGATTGATGAAGATTGTGAATCTTCGTCATCAAATCAGAAATGGTATCAGAGAAAAATCTTTCCAGGACTGTATAAAATCGATTCTCTTCCAGAGAATTTCTGGAAATTTGATATTCATGACTGGGAACTCTTGAAAACTTTAGCAAAAATAGAAGTAGTCATATACATATTATCATTATTAACAGGATCATTTTTTGGAGTTCTTGCATACTGGGATGGACCAATGTTTGTCTATGTTGCAAGAACTTTTTACAATATTCCAAGAGAAGGGCCCGATTCACATCTATTTAAGCGTCCACCAGAATATTTTACATGCCATTTCCCAGGGTATCCTATTATTATTCGAATATTTTCAACAATAGTTTTCAATCGATACTGGCTTGGTCTTTTACTCTCAATAATCTTTGGAGCCGTCTTAGTAACATATTTATTCAGAAGATTACTTATTGTTTATGACTGTGTACAAGATCCAAACTTTACTACTTATATTTCCTTATATTTCCCACTAAGATTTGTATTATACAAAGCTGTCGGTGCTTGTGAGCCATTGTACATGAGCTACTGCTTCCTAGCTTTCATATTTTTCAAAACAGACCAAATTTTCTTTCTTTTGTTATCTTTATGGGGAGCCTGCTTAACAAGAATCGAAGGACTCTCAATTGTTGGCACCATTGGACTATCCTACTTATTAAGATTGGATATTCCTCGCGCTTTGTTCACAGGACTTGGATTTTTGGCAACTCCTGGATTATTTTACTTTTATAGCTTGAAATTCGGGACATATACCTCATATTTTGAATTCAATGACCATTTGTTGAATCCTTTCTACTATTCTTTAAGAGTTAAAGCAACAGATTATTTTTTCGTATTAGATCCTCATACATTGCTCACAGTTTCAGCTCCAATGCTAGCAGGAACACTAGTACTATATGTTACTGCTGTTCCTATGGCAATTTTTAGTACAGTTTATTTATTATTTATTTCATTTTTGAACCATGAAGATATTATGAGATATTCAATGCCTGGATATGTTCTAGCAGTTCTTATAGGGTTTGATTCAATGATTACATCTCCAGTTCTTAGACTTAGACTTAAAATAGTTGCAAAGTTTTTATTAGTGGTCCAATTCTATTCATATATCGGCCAAATGAATATTAATAGGGCCAATGATTTACATTTCAAGAAAATCTGTGATATTATTCATCATGTTTATGAAGGTCCAAATTCAGAAGTGTTTTAGAGGTTTCTTATGACTAAGAGTTTTCAAAAAAGAGAATTTTAAGAAAATTTTTTTATATTATTACTTTGAATTTTTAAATTCAAAGTGTATTTGTTTGTATACATGGAATAAATGTGTTTCTGCATAAAGTTTTTGTAAATTTAACAATATTTATTATTTTCTTTTATTGATTTTGAAGATAAGATTTTAATTTTTGAACTAATGGTAAAATAATCTCAGATGATGATGTTTTTGGTTGGTTGTCACTTTCAGCAATGTTATATGTTAAGTTATTATCTGAATAATCATTTGCATATCTTGGGAAGATGCAAATATTATCTTGCTTTCCTGGTCTTTGCAAGGAATGAAATGCGTTATCTTCTGACTTAATATCATCGCACGATCTTAAGAATTTTCCAATTTTATTTGCAAGAAGCCACATTTCGACATTATCTTTGACTGTTTCGTCTGTTGTTTTGATTACTTTGACATATCCAACTTTAGAAATGGCATTGATCCATTCAATTTTGAAATTGTTGTAAGTGAAAGATTCAACAACTTCCATTTTCTGAAATGAATTTCAAAATATATACAGGTATTACATAGGATATTATCTCAATAAGAGCTTCAAATTCAAACGAAATTTGAAAAAAATCCAAAATTATTTTTACATTTAGGCTATTTAATCATTAAAATTATCTAATTAGGAGATAACAATTTTCTTAACCTAACTATTTTTGCCAAAAATCATTTGGATAAGTCCAAAAAGCCATGCGACCAATAAAAGATTTTGAAAGTTTTCAAATTTTGAAAAAAATCATTTTTTAAATTTTTTTATAGGTTGAATGTTCTCTTTTCTAATATCTATAGTCTCAGCATCAATTATGGGCATTGACCTTGGCAATGCTTACATTAAAGCGTCTGTTGCCACTGCAACATCTCCACTTCATATGGCTTCCAACGTTCATGGTAAGAGATACATGCCGTTTGTGTTCGCATTTTGGAACAGAACGAAGTCTTCAAACTATTCATCACTTCAAACTTGGAAAATGGAAGACTTAGATTCATATAATTACCAATTTGGCTTTTTCGCCAAAGAACAATGCTTAAAATTCCCTCGCACATGCATCTTTGGACTTCCTAATATGTCAGATACCTATTTTCAACTCAAAGGCTACGAAGTTCTTGCTTTAGAACTTGATTATTTCGTAAAATCAGTAAAAAAGGCCGAAAACATACAAGATCGTCTACAAGTTGTTATATCAATACCACCAGGCATGGATCCACGTGACAGGACCTTCATAAGGCTTGCCTGTCGTCTTGCAGGAATAGAATTAATTGGATTCATTGATTCGACTACAGCTCCAGCTTATACATACTCACTCGAGCGCCAGCATATATACTCAAACGAATCCTTGAATGTTGGCTTTGTAGATATCGGAAAATCCGGATCTCGTGTTGAAATTTTCAATTTCGACGGCAGAGATGGCCAAAATACAGTCAAGCAGCTTGCAGTTGTATTTAATAATACAATGGGTGGCCACAATGTCGACCAGAAACTTGCAGAAATCGTTTCAAAGAAATATAACATTGATATCTCAAATTTAAAGATCAGAACCAACCTAGAGAATGATGTATCAGCTGCAAAAGAGTCATTGGCGATGCATCCATCAGTAGAACTCCTCTGGGACTCTGATGATGAAGATGAACCAAGAAATTTGACAATAACGAGGTCAGATCTTGAAGAATCCGGCCAAGAACTCAACAAAACCGTTGTTTCTCTCATAGAAAATGCTCTCAAAATGGCAAATCTTCAAAAAGTTGACAGATGCGAGCTCGCAGGTGGCCAAACGCGCAGTATCTTCTTAAGAGACCCTATAATCAATGCATTCGGTGTTGAAGAAGTCAGCAGAACCCTTTCACAGGACCATTTCAACGCTCTTGCCGCTGGATATGAATCTGCCGAACTTTCTCCTCAATTTACAGTCCAGAAACAGGTGAATAAGTCATTAATGATCACAATACCTTCATGGGCTCTGTTCGGAAAGAATCTTTATCCCATATTTAATCGTGGAGATGAAGAAGGTGGCTCTCCTTCAGTAGAAACTGTATTATCGGATCAACATACGTATTCTATTGTCACGAGTAGGGGCGAATTCGCTAAATTCAATGTAAAAGGCCACAAAAAAGATCGAGTTGAAATTTCATTCATTCATAACTACTTTTTGATGCCAATTCCGTATACAGCAGTATCAAAGAATAACGAGTTATCTATCGATTTCGTACGATTACCATGGGAACCAACGAATGAATCAATTAATCATTCACAGGTTCTTTTCGACAACTTTATTTATATTGCAGATCAACGACGACATGTTCACAAGCTTGCAAATGACCTTGAAGAGTTTCTTCTTCAACTGAAACACGTTCTTCCATCATCTGGTGAACACACGAACATTTTGAACAGCCACATTGAATGGTATTCTAATCTTGTTACAGAGGCCAAAGCAGAAGATTACAAAACACGACTTGACGAACTTCACGAAAGATTTGATTCTATTTGTGAAAGTATTCTTGAAAAAGAAACGAAACCAAAGTCTCTTAAGAAGATCAAGAAAACAGTTTGTGTAGTTAAAGAATTACTTTCGAGTGCACGAACTTCTCCTCTTGTTAACAGAACAGCACTTTCCATTGCCGAAGAATCTCTTGAACTTGCAGAAAGAGATTTGGTTCGATTTGAAAACGATGAAAAAGTTAAATCTCAAGATATCATCCGCACTCGACAACAACTTAAAGATGCCGCTCTCCCTATTAAGAAGTTTATGTGGAATGAATCTAAGAAAGCCGTAAATTCTACGAAACTTGGTCTTATGTGACCAAAATATTAAAAAATATTGTTTTATTTTGTTTAATTTATCATTTATATTTCTAAATTACTTATATTTCTTTATTAATCAGGATCTCTAAGTTCAATTGAAAGATTTGGAGACATGTTTGCTTTGAATAAGTATTTTATTAAGAACTTAGATTATTGAAACCAGGGATTAAAAATTATAAGAATAACTAAAGGTATGGAAACTCTTAAATACCTTGAATAACTCAAAAAAATTTTCAATTTCAGAAATAAATGCTAAAAAACCATTACGGCAATTCTTAAATCATCACAAAAGGGTAAGTTAGCTTGTTTATACATTAATCTTTGATATAGCTTATTTTTTGACTTTTAATAAAATGCAATGTTTGATGGTTTGATCTTATTTTGCGATTGTGTTAACGTTGGACCGCTAGGCTTTGAAATCTCCTAAGTATGTTAAATGAAAATACATTGTTTGACAGTTTTGATCCAAAATTTTCAAATTCGAATTGAAAAATTGAGGGAAAAGTTTTTATCATCGAACATTAATATACCCCATACATTAAGATTTACTATAATTTTATTCTTTTTATTTATTTTTATTTTGTCAAATTTTATGATCTGTTTTTATTACCTCTATCTGACTCGCAGTTTTTTTGAAGATTTTGCAGAATTAGCCAGATCTCATGAAGAAGAAAGAAATAAAAGAATAGCAAAAAGTTTACATTTCTCAGGACCTTCAAACGATACATGGAATAGATTCTATGGTCCTGCAACTTATGCTAAATTTGTTAGTACAAGTCAAAAATTCACAGAAAGCAGCAGTGTCTTTGTTGATTACGTTCTTTTCGAAAATTTTAGTCCAGATGGTGTTATTCGAATCACTACTACAGCTGAAGATACAAAAGTTCTTGTTTCAACTTCTTCTTTTTTAACTGTTCCTCTACAGAACAAGGAGGATCCATATATCTTTCATCATCAGGATCATTTGTTCAATACAAAATCTGTAGTTATGAATCTAAATCAGATGTACAAGGATCTCATTCATATATTCAAGTGACAAATAATGATAACCACAAGAATTTTGTTATTCAATCATCATTTACTCAAAGTACAGGAAATTATTCTGTTTTAGATCATTTTTATGGATCTATTCTATTTTCATCATTAAATATCTCTGATTCAAAACTAGATGCAAATGCAGCATTTACTAGTTTGCAACCATTTAATCTTTCAACAACAAATTATAGTCATTTCTATAATATTTCATCAAATACACAATGTTGTTTTTATCATTTTTCTAATTATCAAAATATCTTTTCTTGTAATTTTATTAATAACAATGTTTCAGAACCTAGTAAAGGAATTTTCTATCTGACTAATTATGCTACACTTTCAGTAGATCAATGTTTCTTCAAAGGAAACAATGCTACTAATTTATTTTATAGTAATTTCGGAAAATTGAACGCTACTGCAATTAATTACCATTTTGAAGATAATACATTTGAACAAAATGGTCATCTTATAAATCAAATGCATATGACAGAAATCATTTTTCATAGTTTATATTATTCTCCTGATTTATGTGATCTTCCAATTCATACAAAGACTATTTTACGCACAGAAGGACCTAATTTCATCCATCAATGGCGCTTACGTCGTTAACGTTTTTTTTATATTTTTTTGAAACGATTCTATATTTTTTTTTCTTATTTTCATAACTTCTCCTCATTATTTCAATCAATTGATTTTACGTTCAATATCAAGTCTAAATATATCATTCATTCAAAACCACTTTTGATGCCAATTCCGTCCACAGAAGTATTAAGGCTCCTGTCTCACCCTCTAAATTTTCAAAATTGAATATATTCCATAGTAAGAGTTTTCATGACCTATAATTAAAGTTATTATATTAGTAAAATATAAGCTATAATATTATATTATGATGCATGGCGTTGCAATATCAGAAAACTCTTATTGACGAATATATTCAATTTGAAAATTGAGAGAGTGGGACTGGAGCCTTAAAGAATAATGAATTATCTACCATTTATGAGACAATCAGATGTTGATTTTGTATTTTTTCTTCATCTGAGCTACATGTTAATATTATGTACATCAGATTAGGAGCAAATATATTATTTACCTTTTAAATTTATAAATATTTTTATTTTTGATATCATGTTCGATATATATAATCATTATGCGCTAAAAATTTAATACAGTTTAGATATTAAGATTTGGATGATAGTAAATTATTGATAAATTATGAAAAATGCATTTGAGGGTTCTTAATAGAAAGTCCTTTAGTTCAGAATTATTCTATAAATATCAGACAAACTCATAAATTATATAATCAAATGTGTATTCGAATTGGATTATTTAATTTAATTTAATTTTGTTTTATTCAATGTATGGGATAAAATATCTCAAGAAGTACCTCATATGGCCAACAACGCCAAAAATCATTTTTGTAAAGATTGTTTTATCCAAACTTTGAAGTCTTTGTTCATTATATAATGCACACTATAATACAAACCCATTAAAATTATTAAAAATACAATTTCAAGCTCTAATATTTTGTGAATCATATACAAATCTCTCAATTTTCAAATACACTTGCCTTAACATCTTCTATATATCCATATTTTATATGTTCCAATCTTTTACTTGACGAATGCGTGATTTTGTTCAAAATCTTTCATTTCGTATTACTTGGTTCGTGAGTTGCGACTTTAGACCTCATTTAATGATTTTTTTGAATTTTTGATGCCAGATACATGTTTAAATTCGATTTTTTCCCAAATTTGGAGTTGAAGACCAGAAGATAATTTTTTAGTAAAATTCTGAGCAGTTTTGACTAATTTTTGAACGAAATTGAGACTCGATTTTTCTTTAGAATTTAGATATACATCGTTGATCATTATTTTAACCTTTTAATTTTGGTATTTTTTTGTCATGTAAACTATTGAATTTTATCAATTTTCAATCTTATTTTCATATTGATCTTTTTATATTATTTCCATCTGTCAAACAGATTTTTTGAATGCGCAGACAAAGCTGACAGATTTGACGGAAGAGAAATAAATAAAAAACGCAAAAAAATTTTACATTTCTCAGGACCTTCATATGATGTATGGAATAGATTCTATGATGCTGCATCTATTGACATATTTGTTAATACAAGTCGAACAGTCAATGAAAATAACAACGTCTTTGTTGATTTCGTTCTTTTTGAAAATTTTAGTTCAGAAGGTGTTATTCGAATATCTAATACAAATGATGATACAAAAGTTCTTGTTTCAACTTCTTCTTTTTTTAACTGTTCCTCTACAAGTAATAGAGGATCCATATTTCTTTCATCATCAGGATCATTTGTACAATACAAAGTCTGCAGCTATGAATCAAAGACAATACTTTTGAAAGGATCTCATTCATTTATTGAAGTGACAAATGATGATAGCCATAAGAATTTTGCTATTGAATCATCATTCACTCAAAATACAGGATATATGTCAGTTTTATCTAATTATTATGGATCTATTCTATTATCATCAATAAATATCTCTGATTCAAAACTTCAAATGAATGCTGCGTATCAATGTTCTACACCATTTTCTCTTTCTACAACAAATTTTAGTAATTTCGAGAATATTTCGTCAGATAAACAATGTTGTTTTCAGTTAATCAATAAAATGCACAATATCTATTTTTGTAATTTTATTGATAACAAAGTTCTAGAAAATGGTGGAATATTTTTGCCATATTTTGCTACACTTTCAGTAAATCATAGTTTCTTCAGAGGAAACAAAGCTTCTGATTTATTTTGGGCAGGAGTAGGTACTACAAATGAATGCCATTTTAAATCAGATAATACATTTAATAAGAACGGAATTAATCAGAAACTAAAGTCAATGACAGAAATCATTCTTCCGAGTTTACATTCTTCATTTTTATGCGAAACTCGAAATTACACAGAAATTGTTTTGCCTACACAAGGATGCAACGTCATTCCTCATTGGCGTAGAAGACATTAGACTATTTTGAAATGATTTGAGTTTTCCTATAATGAAAATAAAATGTTTCATTTCAACATTCACAGATTCTTTTCGTCAGCATTGTTTCTCTCTCAGATCAAAGGTAACATCTTCATAAGCCAACAAATAGATATTTATATTAGATATCGAAATAATTTCATTGACAACCAAATATTTGAATTTTACAAATTTTAATAAGGTTCAATAATCATCGTATTAGATAACAACTGAAAATAACGATAATCATTAAATATCAAAATGATCCCAATTGATTCCCATTGTTGACTTTATTTTTTGTGGTGTGTTACCTAGAATTGAAGTGTACTAGTTAAGGCAACTGAATTTGGATTCTTCACATGATAAAAAATTCATTTTAATACATAGATAGATCCATTTTAACATATAATTAACAAATATCCGACATAAAGTTCAAAAATAGGTTACAATTTTGAAGTATGACGTCTACTAGAAATTCCAGGCAATTGCTGCTTTGACGGGAGCTTATAATTCTTTGTAGAATTTCTGATATCAAGCATATCTCCAATAACAATAGCAATTTGATCAAATTTCTCTTCCAATGTTTTTGCTTGTCGCTCTCCTCGCAGAAATGTCTTCTCATTAATATCTGAAACAATTTTATACATGTTATCAATTGAAAGTCTGATTAATGCACATTCTTGACCTTTTAATCTGCTTTGAATTGCAACAAGTTCTTGTGAGTGCCTTTCATGACCAAATTCTTTAAAAGCAGCATCTTGTGCTTGTGAAATCTTCTTAATTTGATAATCAATTTCAACTGTACTCGATGTTGAGGATTCGTCATACATTTTAATTGCATCTTGGAGCTTTTGAAGCTCTTTCTTTGATCGCTGTAGTCTGACTTGAAGAGTTCCTCTCCATTCTTTAAGAGTTTCATATTTGTTAACGATACCTTGGACTTCACTGACGCCTGATCTGCTAAATAATTCTGGAGCAGCATCATAGACAGTATCTAAGTAACTTTTATAAGGTAGAGTTGTTTCTAATTGCGTTTTGATTTCTTCTTCATGGTGATTGAGTTCTTCAAGCTCTTCTTTTAATTTTTCGAGTTCTTTTTGTTTAGATTCAACTGCTTTCTTTTCTAAGTTAAGTCTTTCTTCTTCTCTCATCCTCTTATTACAGTTATCTCTAACATATGCATCATTTGCAACAACTTCCCTCTGATTTTCAAGGTTTCTTTCTTCAATCTCTTCTGCTTTCGCTTTGTACCTTTTCATTTTAAGTTCATGATCACGTTTTTTCGCATCTAACTCGAGCTGAAGATCATATGACTTTTTCTTTTTATCAATAAGGCGCTCTAAACCAGTTTGGCTTTCTGGAACTAAACTCACAAGACGTCTTGCAAGTACTCGCTCCATTTATTTCAAAAATGTACGTTAAGAAATTTTTGTCATTTCGTTATTTTTCATTTCAATCCCCAAACTATCAGGAACAAATCCTATATTATTGAATTTCAATCAAATTTATGATTTTTTCTTATTTTAATCAATCTTAAAAATATTAATAGCTTTCTGACCTTCAACACTCGGCATTTTTGTTAAACAACACCTTATCATACCATGGTTTCTTAAAGTTTATATACATATCCTACAATACCTTCTTCTATTATGCCATCAATTCAGTTGATGCAATAATTCTGCGACAGAATCACACATTGTCATTCACTGAATCCATGCATCTTTACTCATTTCTAAAAATTTAATAAATTTTAAAATTTCATTTTAAAATACAAACAATGATATAACAATATAAAACAGATTTCACTTAGAATTAACAGAAATACTGAATGCATTTCTGAAATCTTCACTTTGGAGGATATGTGGAATTGTTGTTAATGCTGAGAGATAGTTATCAAGATCTTCATACCGCTTTTTTAAGAAGTTTATGTTAGTGTTAAATATATACTTCTTCGGCGGGAATGAAGGGAATTCTGTATTATTCGGTAACTGTTTATAAAGTAATCTGTTGAGTTTCTCTAATTGTGAGTATCTCATAGCAATATTCCTGACAAGGACTTTATTGTCCACTTTCACTCCAATTTGGATGATATAATAAGCTACATCAGTTTCTTTATCAATGTAGAAATACTCTATGTGTATGTAAAAAGGTTGTTCGCATGCCGATTTATCCAATTGGCTTGCTTTGCTTTGGCTGAGGGATGCTACAGATATGTATGTCATTGTGAAAAATATAAAAAGTACAGAACTTATCGGTTTTCCTTGTAAGGACCAGATTTCAATTCAAATTTGATATCACCTTCCTTTCAATTTATTGTTTAGCGTCAAAAAATTGAATTAAAATCTATTAGTGGTTATTTAACAAAAATTAATGCATTTATACTATTCATCAAAATTAACATGAAAATTATTTTGAAAGAGATAATCGAGCTTGATAAAACCTGAATAAAATCAAGCTCTAATTTTAACTTTTTCATGATATTTACATCTAGACACACACAAAGTTATCAAAGAATGCAATCATTTCACAAGTTTCGTATGATTAGTCAATTTGAAATCGGCAATTGAGAATACGAGTGAACAATTCGTTTGTTATTTAGGATTATCAGTACAGTAGTTTTATATTTCCGATTCCGAAATTGATTACTATATATAATTTATTTTGAAAATTTAAAATTTAGATTTATTCGTCAATTATATAGGTTCATACCTTTTATCTGAGTAAGTATGACCAATAGATACTAATAACAATTCATTTATGTTTAGAAATGCCAAGAAGAAAGTTGCCATTCCTACGAATATGTTATTTAATCAAACAGATCTTGATAAAGGAACACATGTATTAGGTATAAGTTACAATGGCTCAAAGATTCTCATTATAAGGCAAGTTAAATATGAAACATGCTCAGAATTTAGATTGATTATTAGAGAAATTGATTGTTTCAATTTTAAAATGTCAGTAGATATCGAATCACACTTATTATTTTCTGCAAACGGCTTACTCAACTATATTAAGTTTGGAATGCATTTCATTTTGCTAGAGATACTAGACAGCACAATAGAATATATAGTGATTGGATATATGCCGGATGAGTCAAACATATTTGTATATTTCTCCGTTATATTGCGAAACAAAAAAATAATTAATTTTTCATTTCCAACAAATAGCAATGTATTTGATTGGGATCCAAATACATCACTTATCGTAAACAAGGATAGCGGATTCATTATTGTTAGTGCTGTTTCTAGTTTGAAAATAATTTGTTTTGATCAAGAATGGAACCCAAAGTTCAAGTCCATTGATATAGATAAATATATTTCAAGAATTTTAGGCGATTCCACAATGTTATTAGAAGCATATATCTCAAAAATAATCACAAATATTGATGGATGCTTCTACACGTTTATTGGTTTTGTCTACTATAGCGAATCGAAACAGTCATGGATGCTGATGAGCCATATTCTTAAAATATCTAATGATGGAAAGACAACACTTTTCAATTCAACTGCGAAGTCTTTGACAAAGCGACCAAGAGGCGAAAAAATAACTAAGAAACTTGACGATTTATACAACATGCACTTATTCATGTCCAAACCAGAATGTCTTAATAATCAAATAATTTCACATAATAATTACGATTATAAAAATGGAATCCGCTCTATGATGATACCAACAGCAGAATGTTGTTTAATTGATATTAAAAAGAAACAAAAAAATTATGATTTGATTTTCTAATAATTACCATTTTCTATTGCATAATATTATTTAATTGAAATAAAGATACTGTTTTCTATGATCTTTTAATTGTATTTTCCTTATTTTAAGTGAAGATTCTAGGATTTCACCAGGATGATAAGATAAAACTTTGAGTTAGATATGAAATCGGTTTTGCTATTTCATGAGAAGTAGAAGAGATACAATGATGCCAATGAAGCTGGTAGTTATATCTCAAAACATGCACTCGATTATACATCATTTCACGTTGAGATTAAAAACAATACAACATTAGATAATTACGATCTTTTTATCTTGTATTACTTAATATGAATAGTGTTTTAATTAATGAAGTTTTTATAAATGGAGAAACTTCTCTTCATTAGGCAGTCATAAATACTAAAGTTGAAACATAGAACTTTCTATAACCTGACAGCTTTATGCAAAATGACATTCTATTTCCTTGAGGCTACTTATGATTAGACGATATAGAAATGCTTCGGTTTTTCATCAATGCCAAATGAATAAAGCTTTCATTTTTGCATTATCAATAGATTAAAATCTAGCTCTCTATCTTTAAACAAAAACACAAGAAATGAACTTTCTATATCATGATGCATGCTTGATGACAGTTGGGATATGCCTTACATTTGTACATATCGATTAAAACAGTATATATACACATAATGCTTATGATATCATTGATTATGTGTTAGAAATTAAAAAAATCTGGCCAATATCCTAAATGTGTAATACAAAAATATGGTCATTCATAAAATTTACAATTATGTCTTTTTTTTTATTTATACCCCCCAAAATAAAAATATCACAGACCCTATAGAAGGATAAATAATGTCAGGAACTGCATTATATGAACTTCAGCTCCGACTTAAGAGAAATAGCATCAACGTGAAAAGGAAAAAGGAAGAAATTGATGGCCTTCTTTCGAATTATCGTGATCAAATTCAGCAGTATATTATTACTTTATACAACTCAGCATCAACTATATATGATACATTAAATAGTGGCCAAAAAGAATACAACGATAAACCAAAGGAAGACATTGACAGTAAAAAATTACTTGAGATTCGCAACAATTTCGTAAATTTCCTTGTAGAAAATTTAAAGGAAGGAATAATGACGAAACAAGTTTACATAGAAATTCTTGCTCTTTTTAATTTTCTCTGGAATAAAGAATCAGTTGATGAATTTGTAAAGAAATTACTAAATGTATCCCAACAGTATCAAGAATTGCTTGCAATCTGTTTGCTTTCATCTCCTTTACTCCAATCGTTTGCAATTTCGGTCTTTAGTGAAGTTTTTAAAGACTTAGAAATTGCAACCGTTGATCAACTCACTCAGACAACAATTGAGCTCATGAAACAGTATGCTATTATCTTACCGAGTTACATAAAGATCATTGTTCAAAAGAAACCATACATTTTCTGGTCGAAATTACTTCTTGAATATTTGAAAGCTCCATTTCTCTTTGGTATCGCATCGCAAGAGATCGAACTGTTATACGCTGATAAAATCAAAGAGTTTTCTCAATCCCTTGCTAACTTTTTCCAATCAAAACCAGCTCAAATTGTTTTAAATCAATTAGCTTATTCCAAAGATGTCTGTGTTTACCCGTTCGAGCAGCTACTTACGCAAATCGACCCTAACTTTGTATCGCAGACCCTTCTAACTCCCGATTTCGCTAATGTTTCCACTCCAAAGTTCATTACATTTTCTACATCGAACTTTTTCAAGTCTCCTTCATTCCACGAGAAGCCAAACAGCCTTATTAAGACTGTCCGACAACTTCTGCACGATTGCGATCTAATTTGCCTCGAAACAAACGAAAAAGATACGAAAATTGTTTTACAACAGCTTGTTTCGCTTACATCCTACTACAGTGATGTTAAACTAGAAGGGTACTTAGAGGAAATCGACACGTACATAAGGAAATCCAAAGAAGACGACATATTCAAAATTATCAAACAATGCAATAGGGAATTAGACCTCGAAGACATCTCCAACTCCAAAGATCCCCTCGTTATCATCGCTCAGTATTCGAAACAATTCAACTTCATTAAAAAATTAAATGAAGTTTGCTCTTCCATTGGCAATAGATCCCAACAACTAGCTGAATCTGCTAGTATTATATCCAAACTTTCACTTCCTATAGCAGAAGAACTCATTCAACCAGAGAATTTCGTTCAAACTTTTATTGCCACTCGGGAATTCCTCCAGCTCAAGAGATCCGACAGTTTTAAGACCTTACATACTATTATTCTGTCCAAAATAGGGTACCTTAAGCAGGATAACAACGATGTAGAAGCAGATCTCAAATTTAATAAGTTCCTTAAGGACAATAAACAAAAAATCCTTGATAACATGAGCCAGCAGCCATTCCTCAAACCGTATATCGAGAATCCATCCCTTCTAAACCTCTTTTTCCAAGAATTCAAGTTAGTTTTCAAGTCAAAACTGCCTCTTTTAAGGGTTAAACATATCCACAACAGCATAACAATATTAATTGGATTACTTAAGGAGCAAAACATCGGAGAAATCGGCGCCGACCAAATTATTCCGTTTGGAGTTGTTGCAATCGTTCTCAGCAATAACTTGGGATTGATAACAACCAAGAATATGCTTGTAAAACTGGTCCAACCACTTATTAATGTCGCATCTCCGCTTGAATCTGCTGAAGAGTATTCCGTAATTCAATTTTTGAGCACAATTCAATTTTTGAGTACTGCTGCTTGAAAATTTTCGGTTTCACTTCCAGTATTATTTATTAATATTTTTTTTTTGTTTGTATATCCTAAAAAATTATCTTTATTTTCTTTTCAAATAGGATTAAGATATATAATGTATTATGTTCTTTCAAAATCTCGCAAACTAAAAAAAAAAAAAAAAAAAAAGGGAAGTGGGGCTTCCAGGCACTTCGTGCCTTCTAGCCCTGTTGATGTTTAGTATAAATGAAGTTTTTTTTGAAGGGCTTCCAGGCGCGTTGCGCCCTCTAGCCCTGTTGATGTTTAGTATAAATGAAGTTTTTATTCGGAAAACCTTCTTCTGGGTCGAAAACATTATATAATGTGTCACTTTTCACAAATTATATATGTTTTCATGTTTTGTCAAGACTTCTTCGTAAATGTTTTGTCAAGACTTCTTCGTAAAATCAGACAAAAATAAAGTTTAGGGTAGAAGGTTAGATCTAACCTGTTTTCTAACCTCTTTTCTACCCTCATGAATTTTCATGATTTCTTCGTACATGTTTTGTCAAGACTTCTTCGTAAATGTTTTGTCAAAACTTCTTCGTAAAATCAGACAAAAATAATGTTTAGGTGAAGAGGTGAGATCTCACCTGTTTTCTCACCTGTTTTCTCACCTCTTGAATTTTCATGATTTCATCGTAAATGTTTTGTCAAGACTTCTTCGTAAAATGTTTTGTCAAGACTTCTTCGTACATGTTTTGTCACTTTTCTGTCACTTTTCAGGAAAAACATTTTTATTATTATAATAATGAATTTTACAAAACCACCGTTACCGTTCTTTGGAAATAAGAGTAAATGTAAAGATATTATATTGAGAGAACTTAAGAAACTACCGAATGGTCTAACATTTGTAGATTTGTTCGGTGGAAGTTTCTATATATCCCATTTGTGCCATATAATATTCCCAGACTCAAAGATTATATGCAATGACTTCGACAACTATATGGACCGTCTCAAACATATACCAGACACAAACAATATATTGAAAGAGTTAAAAGAAAAGATACCTATAGGTAAGATGGAACGTATACCATTAGATAACAAAAATATTGTGAGAGAGGTTTTGAAAAAAGCAGAATATATAGACTGGGATAGTATATCTGCTAGACTATTATATAGTGGTTCTATAAGAGTTCATGACATTGAAACACTTATGTCAAAAGTTTTATATCTTAACTATACAAATGTTTTCAAAAGGACATAGAAAAATATATTGAGGGTATAGAGTTTGTGAGATGTCATTGGACAGATTTGTATGAAAAATATAAAGACAAGGAAAATGTTTTCTTTATAGTGGACCCGGCGTTCTATAACACATGGGATTTTCAATACCAAGTAGACTGGACTTTGAGAGACTCTTTAGAAACTTTAGACGTTTTACATAACTGTCCATGCTTTTACTTTACATCCGATAAAAGTGGTTTGGAAACCGTTATGAGATGGTTAGAGGACATACATGACTATGAGTTTAGATATGACAAGATAGAATATGAGAGAGGTCCTATAAACTGGAGAAAGTGTCACAATAAAGAAATTTTATTAGTAAGTAAATGTGGTTTGAAATAGGACTACTTGTTTTAGGTTTTTTCCATTGTGTCATTTATTTCTTTGACGTGGCAGAAAAGTACAGAGAATATGAAGATGAACCAATGCCTGCAAATGTTCAGTATATGTACTCGTAAGAGATATTTTTATCTAATATTAAATGGACGCACAGAACTTAGCGAATGCACAGCAACCTGGACAACCAAACCCAGAGAATATTCCAAATGAAGTTAGAATACAAACTGCAATGGCAAACTATGGTCAAGTGCCAACAGATGTACAAATGCAAACTGCCATGTCAAATGACGCTGCGTTAGGTTTGCCACCATGGTATGCAAATATGAGATGGAAAGAGTTTTATACAAACCCTGAAGTGGGATATAAACAACTTTATGCAGATGACGCGAACACAGGAGTTGACCCAGAATATGTTTTCTACCAGAGGAGAAACAGAATGTATGAGCTCCAGTTAAAGAATGCTATGGAACTCAACAGGAAACGCAAAAGACTAGGCGGACATTAGATTTTTACATATAGTAAAATGGGTTTCTTCAGTAAGATAGGAAACTTCTTTCGAAATGTTGGAAGAGGTATATGGAATGGAATAAAATCTGTCGGAAGAGGAATTTGGAACGGAGTCAAAAATATTGGTAAAAGAGTAGGTCAGTTTGTTGGTATTATACCTAAAGACCCTGAACCAGAAGAACAAGCTCCTGTTATACAACAGCCTGAACCTGCACCACAGTCTAGTTGGCAACCAAATCCAACACCTCAACCGTATTAAAAAATTATATTTTTACCGTTCGATAGTAGTTGTATATGAAACTAAGTTCTAAGTAAAACGCATGGTATAATGGAATTATTCTTTTTCTTCCATCTGTAGTAAACCATACTTGAAAGTCTGAAATACTTCCACTTGGTGGTTCGTATAACTTTGTAGGTTTTTCGTAAAAGTCATTTGCCAAGCATAAAAAAGAGTTTTGGGCGCCAGAAAATGAAGCATGAACAATAATAGCATCTTGGTCGAAAACATTTTCATATGTTCCATTAGGGTTTTCGACTTCATAAAAGTCTGGGTGTACTGGATATGCTGCAGGCTGATTTAACATCCTCATAAATCTATACCATGCCAAGTTGTTATATTTTGTAGAAATATAAACGTTTTCTCCAAGGTCTTCTATTTTATTGATTTTAACAGTTGCATTTTTCCTGTCATAATAATATCGAGATGGTACTCTCCTTCGTCAATGTTATACTGGTTTGCATATTCGATATAGATGTCGTTTATTTTTTCTTGAAAAGCTTGAAGAGTTGTTTAAGTTTACAAGCAAACTAACTTGTAAAAGTTTTCCCTGTTCAAATTTCTCATACATACGTTTTTCTTGTTATAGTATCGAACTTCAAAACCGACCGTAAATGGGAAACCATGTATGGCTTCTGAAATGAACTTCATTCTACGAAAGCCAATAGCTTTTGTGACAGATGGGTCTCTTAACCATCTTAATGGGTAGTCAAAACGATAGCCTTCATGCTTTACGGTCTCTGTCTCAAACTTTTGACCGACATTAGTAAAAAGTTCATCTAATGGTTTAGTTGTAGCAACTCTTGAATTTTCTTTTTCTATTGAAAGCATATTTTATCTAGAATAAAAATGTCAAATGAAACAGCGTCTATGAGAGAAATACAACACAACCGACAACTCATTATGCAAGCTCTAAATAAGAACACAACAAACTTTTCAAACTATTCTAAGATATCTGAGTCATTGAAAGAAGGAAACTTAAAACTGACATTAAACCCAATGACAGATGAGTTTCTGTTTCAAGACAATAAGAACCATACTGTCTGTATAAATCCAACAAAAGGAACTTTAAACGAGAAACCTATAAATGAACTTCTTTTGAAAGCAGATGTTGACAACAAAGCTGACAAAGAATATGTAGACGATGCAATAGCAAAAGAAGAAGAAAGAGCTAACAATGCTTATGCAACAAAAGAACATACTCATCCTGAACTAGCAGACAAAACATATGTTGACAATAAAATGTCAAGTGAAGTGACAAGAGCTGAAAACGAATATTCTAAAAAGACTCATACACATTCTATATCTGAAATAACAGACTTACAAGAAACCTTAAACAGTAAAAGTGCCGTTGGACATACACATACCATTGCAAATATTACAAACTTACAAGAAACCTTAAACAGTAAAAGTGCCGTTGGACATACACATACCATTGCAAATATTACAAACTTACAAGAAACCTTAAACAGGAAAAGTGCCGTTGGACATACACATACATCTTCTGAAATAACAGACTTAAACGTTAGCCTTGAAAAGAAAGCAGATAAAACATATGTCAACGGAATATACCAAAGTTTGATAGGAACAACAAAAAATATTGAAACTATTGTTGGGGATGTTTCTATCTATGAAGAAAATAAATATTTTAGATGGGAGTTTGTACATTCCTTAAAAAATGGTACACGGTGTAAACTCATTCCGAAAAATAACAATGAAATGTATGTAAGCTATATAAAGAATGATGGAACACAAGTTAAAGTTCCATTAGACAACAACTGCTACTTAAACTTATATGGAGACGAACAAAAGAAATATTTAAGAGTTTATGAAATGACAGATATGACATTGCCTGACCCAGCTCCAGCACCATATTATTATGACTATGGAGATGACGTCAGAACACCACATGTAGATGAACAAAAGCTAACATTATATTTAGATTTTTATAGATATAAAATATATGCAATAGAAAAAACGAGAATAGTATACTATTATGAAGATGACAGAAATAAATATTATAGTCAAGATTTTACCTACCCTGAAAACATAAGATTATATTATAAAAAATATTCTGACACAAACCAGAAGAAACCTGAAATAGTTGCACTATATTTTAAGTTCAAAAGAGACAATCCTATAATGTCTCATATGTTTGATTTAATGAACCCAGTAGGTTCTATTTATACATCTATGGAAGCAAGAGGTCCTCAAGTAATGTTTGGTGTTGGTGCATGGGAACAAATAGTCGACAGGTTTTTGTATTGTGCAAACTCTTCAAAGGAAACAGGTGGAAGTAAAACGATTTCAGGTGAAAATTTACCTGCACACAGTCACTACATAGATTTAAGTACATCTCAAGCAGGTTGGCATAAGCATAGATATTGGGATTGGTCAGGAATGACAAAAGGTCAAGGATATGATGTTAAAGACGACGTTAAGTTTGCTATAAATATTGTTACTGGGATGACACTCAGGGAGAAGGAAACCATACACATTTCGTTTCAGGATATACCAAAACGGGACAAAGTAAAGAATACATGCACCTTACATGACAGTTTACGCATGGTATAGAATTGCTTAGTCGTCATTTTCAACTTCTTTAGCATATTCGTCAGGAGTTGTCTTATATTTGTTAGGAACTGTCTTTGAAAGTATACCACCTTGAACTTTGACAAGTTTGAAACGAGGTCTGACAATAGTAGTTTTATCTTCTGCTTGCAGTGTGTACATTTTGCCATGTTTGCCTAAAACTTCATAATATTCTCTTGTATACTTTCTTCTATTTTTACGAACACGAATGTGAGTACCTGTCGGGTTCCCATTTTTCATAGTCAATAGTATTTTCATATGGTCGCGTTTAGGTATTTCTATTTTTACTTTGTCACCTTTCTTAAGTTTGAAGCCCGGCATTCTTTCTTGTTTGTCTCTTTTGACTAAATTATTAAATATATAGTCTTTCTCTTCAGAGTGTTTTTCATTTCTTCGGGGAGTGGTTTCCCAAACCTTTTTGTTTACGGCTATTGTAAATATTTAAAACTTGTCTCATCTTTGCCATGGAGAAGTGTCTATATTTGTCGTCATATGACATTTCATTTGCTTCCACCTTGTGGTTGGTTTAAGTCTCTTAACATTTTTATACAACCGTCAATGACACCAAGAGCAGAATGGTTTTGGTCGACAATGAAATATTGGTTTACATTTTTTGAACGCAGATAGTTTTTTACATCATCTGATTTGAAAGAACTTTCAAAGTCAGATGTCAGTTTTTGTTGGATGGTATTTGTCAACGAATATTGTCAAAGCAGTTTTCACATCTAAAATATTTTTTGGACCATAATGGTATGGCTTCACAGTATCTTGTGTTTTGACAACAAATATTAGCCAGTATGGTGGTCCATCTTCTCTATACCTCGGAATGTTTTCCAAGATATCCATAAACCAAGCATTTGGTGTTGAACTAAAGATTTTTATCATGAGTGCTTTCTTTGTCGCTTTAGAAACATAGGGTCCTTGTTTGGATTCGTCATTTTTATCCTATAAGAAATGGGTTTATTTGGCGCATTAGCAGGAGTTGCATCCAGATTTTTGCCCGCAGTTGGAACAATAGCCAGAGGTGTATTTGGAGTTGGAAGGAAGATTTTGAGTACATTAGGTATACTTAAAGAGAAAGCACAACCTATTATACAAACTGTACAGAAAGGTTGGGATGTAGCACGAGATGCAACAAATCTTATTCCAAATCCTGAAACAAGAAAAAGTTCAAGGATGGATGGACAATGTAGGAAGTCAAGCAGGAAACTATTATAACAAAGCAAATGACTACTATAACCAAGCAACACTATATGGACCAAGGTGAAAGATTCTTTAACAGAGGATATAACCATGCACAACAATGGGTAAACAATAACCAACCTCAACCGCCTCAAACGTGGGGAATGTAAAGTTTTTTACTGAGATGAAATGAACAAATACAGCATTGAGACAAATGGTTCAAGATGGATTTGTCGCTTCCAGCAGTTACACAACGTGTTTGTCAAGTTCTTCCTATACCTCAGGAAGTTTTAGACCGACTTAAAAAACAACAACAACCAGTTGAAACAAACCAAACTAAAATTTTTTACTGAGATGAAATGACCGAAGAAGTTGAAACGGTAGATTTGACACCACAAACAAAAAGTTCAGAACCATTGTCAAAACCTGTCAAAGAACTTACAGATGAAAGAGAAAAATTCAATAATAGAAAGTGCCAGGTCTGGAAAATACAAACCCTAACTATAAAGTCACTTTTCATAGAAATGGAACGGCTAGTATCTCAAAAAAGAAACAGACTCTCACAAATAAAATATTGAAGTCTGAAGGAGCTTTCGAGACAACAGATGGAAAAGTTTACTTCACTGACCAACAGTTCATTATAGAACATCTCATTGACTTAGAGTCAAAATATTCTAAACTTTACAACAAACACAAAAAGTTGAAAGGAAAACAAAAAACAAATGGCATATGATATTTATGAAGATGTTGACGACACAACTGTTCCTGCAGGTGAGGTAAAGTCAGAGGAACCGAAAAGTGACGAAAAACCGATAGAAGAAGAGAAACCAAAAACTGAAGATAAACCAAAACCAAAGTTTAGTTTCCAAACTAAACCAAGTCAACCTTCATTAGCTGGTATGGGTTGGCGTCAAAGACTTATGGCAGCAGGTGGTTATGTAAAGTAAAGAAAAAAAATATTTTTTTTATTTTTATAAAAATGCCCCCATATAGAATGGATAGAAAGTCTGCTAGAATAAAAGCAGAGTTACAAGGATATGGTTGGAGAGTTTCGAAGAAGTTTAAATATAGGAAGGGAAGACCCATAAAAGTCTATGACAAATTGTCTGGTCTTCGCTACGAAATGGATTTGGAAACAGCACGTGCCAATTATCCAAACAGACTAGAGAGGTTAGAAGAAGAAACGTCTTATGAACATGCTTTCGATGTGTTAACATTGCATGAAATAAAAAATTTATTTTTAAAAAAGTGACATTTTTTATTTTATTTGAAATGTACGCTGAGTTTGTTGGAGAAGACCGTTGGGAAACTTGTTTGTTAGATGAGAAATATGAAATGGCATACCATTTTAAAAACAATATATTTTTACATATATTAAATGCTTCAGGTTGAAAAACAAAGAACAAAAGTAGCAGATACAAAACCGTTAGACTATATCTTTACAAATGCTGGTAGGACTATTTCAGATGAAGAAATTTCATCCCGAGCATACAGGTTTGACTATCCAATTCGTTGGCTTCAAAGTCCTTCAGATGCAAAGGCAATAGCATTTAGAAGAGTTTTGTTTCAAATAGAACTAACGCATTTATGTTCGCAGTATATTTTCATGGGCAGTATAAAGGTTCTGATGGTCTAATAGACAAATTTGACGAAATGAGAATCTTTTACAGTTCGTTCAGACGAAAGTCTTGAGAAAACTCTAAATGACTTTCAAACTCAAATGAACAAATATTATTGGGAATTTCAAGAAAAATACGACTCTTTACTAAATGGAACATACTATCTGAAACTAGAATATGACAGATGAACTCACCGTTTCATTTCAAAAGATTGAAATTAACCCTCCAAGAGATACAGAGTTTTTTATTTTGGAAAGTAGACAAACGTTCTTGGGCACAATTTCTTTCGCGTTACTAAACCAGAACGAACCATTACCACCAGATGGTCCATTTCAATTTATACTTCCACCAGCAGATTTGACAGTTTATTAGAAACGTGTTTGACCCTCAAAATGTTATGTGTCATGCAAGTTTCAGTTCAAGCAACAATAGTTTTCTATGTATTGGTAAGGACTTTTATGACTTTGCTTCTAAATTCTACGAACCACCTAGTAACAGTTTCTCTGACTTTCAAGTTTGGTTCACAACAAATGGTGTGCAAACATATTATTCCATTGTACTATGACTTTTATCTCGAATTGTCTTCATATATAACTACGGAAAAGTGCTGAAAAAGTATTGAATGTGAAGATATTAGAAAATAACATTTTTTCTAACATCGTAAAAACTCATGAAAACAATTTATTTTTGTGAATATGCAAGCGGCTCATAGCTCAGTGGTATGGGCTACCTCGTTAAAGGCGTCGAAGACCTCGGTTCAAATCCCGATTCGCGCAGGTTTTTTCCTTTTATGCAGTGAAATTTCATGTACATAGGTTACTTTGGTGTTAGACCCTAGTGAAGAAAATAGAACGATATAAGTTTACATTTGTAAGGTTACTTTGGTGTTAGACCCTAGTGAAGAAAATAGAACGATATAAGTTTACATTTGTAAGGTTACTTTGGTGTTAGACCCTAGTGAAGAAAATAGAACGATATAAGTTTACATTTGTAAAGTTGGACGATAAAAATCTCTGCTACTGTCAGTAAAAGTACTGCTAGTAGCAGAGATTTTTATCGTTTGTGGTCCGACGGTTAAGCCACAAACGAATGTCCCACGTCCCACCAACCCAGTCCATTCCCAAACCAGAGGAACCTAAAGAACCACAACAGTCTCCTCAGCAACCTCAGTTCCAGCAAGTACCTCCGATTTACTACCAATTTCCACCTCAAGGTTACTACCCACCACAAGGCTTCCCGAACTACCCTCCTCAGCCTATGCCTTACTTCCCCAACCCTTGGATGTTCCAGCAAGCTCCACCCCAGCAATTCCAATCTCAATCCAAATCGAAGAGAGACCAAGAGTTCGAAAGAAGGTCTGAACCGTTTACGCAAAGATTATGCCACAGCCCCTATTGAGAGAAAGTTGTTCCCGGACCAAAAAATATAATTTAGGGTAGAAGGTTAGATCTAACCTGTTTTCTAACCTGTTTTCTACCCTCTTGAATTTGTCATGAATTTCCTTAGGATAGAAAAAATAAAGTTAGTTTTATACAAAATTCATGCAGGAAATTCTTGAGTTTTGGTTGAAAGAATACGGTGGAGCCAAATGTGGCTCGACCTCAAAACAAGCATTTTATGAGCTTACAAAGGGTGTTATGAATGAATTCAAATGTATTTACATACATCCTGACCTCGTTCATTTTGTTCCCGGACCAAAAAATATAATTTAGGGTAGAAGGTTAGATCTAACCTGTTTTCTAACCTCTTTTCTACCCTCTTGAATTTTCATGATTTCATCGTACATGTTTTGTCAAGACTTCTTCGTAAATGTTTTGTCAAGACTTCTTCATCGTAATGAGTGTACATGTTTTGTCAAGACTTCTTCGTAAATGATTTGTCATGATTTCATCGTACATGTTTTGTCAAGACTTCTTCGTAAATGTTTTGTCAAGACTTCTTCGTAATGAGTGTAAAGGACCAAAAAATATAATTTAGGGTAGAAGGTTAGATCTAACCTGTTTTCTAACCTGTTTTCTACCCTCTTGAATTTGTCATGATTTCATCGTAAATAATTTGTCAAAACTTCTTCGTAAATGTTTTGTCAAACATGAACGTACATGTTTTGTCAAGACTTCTTCGTAATGAGTGTAAAGGACCCAAAAATATAATTTAGGGTAGAAGGTTAGATCTAACCTCCTTTCTCACCTCTTTTTTCACCTCTTGAATTTGTCATGAATTTTCCCGAAATAAAAAATAAAGTTAGTTTTATTTTTTTTTATTTTTTTATTTTGTATAAAAGACATGATTTCAACAATCGGCACAACAACAGTTCAAACAACAACAGCACCTAACTCGTTAGTCATGAATCCTACGTCAATGTTAGTAGAGATGAAAAGCTTCATTCCTTCTTCATATACTTTTGAAACAGAAATCCAGAAGATAAAGCAAGAACTTTTAACAAGTAATTTAGACTGTAGTGCGAAAGATGAAACAAATGAACAGTATCTTTATGAAATGCAGGACATTATTGACCATTTGCCTAAACTACCTGAAATTCAGCAGCAAAAACTCACTATTCCTGAATTCGATGAAATAGAAGTCAAAGCAACTGACTCAGTAGAAATAAAGAAGTTCATACGAAAGGTAAACTATGAGTTTCTAGGATTTCATTGCAACCATAAGGTTATGGACAAAGATTGCGACATGGTATATAAGAATGTTTCTGACATATATAAATCTGAAGAATTTAAGACCTACGACAACTTTGTTTCATTAGTTGCAAAATGTGTATGGCAGATAAGAGATAAAGATAAAAGATGTAAAATATGGAACGAACAAATAAAACCAGCAACTTTTGAGTTAAAGAAAACCATTGACGCCTTAGTTGTTCTAGCAGGTCAAATTTCAATGTATAACGCAAAAATGAACCCGCAATGTTCTAAATGTAAGGCAGCAATTAGGAAATATAACTACTCCGTCAAAGAGATAGAAAGAATGAGAAACGACTATGCAGACTTAAAGAAAGAAGCAGAGAAGCCGGTAGAAAATAAAATGGACATGTTAGCATTTCTGAACAAAAACTATCCAACAGCAGAAGATTTCCTTCTATCTGACGTCAAGAAGAAGTATAAAGAAACTTTCGGCATCGTTAAAACATTCGATATCCTCAGCGAAGAAATAGAAGCTACAAAACTGTTTAGAGTCTCACGAATTCATAACGTTTACCATGTAAAACGCTTATAAAATAACTGGGGTAGAAAACAGGTTAGAAAACAGGTTAGATCTAACCTTCTACCCTAAAATATATTTTTGCTGAAAAATGACCAAAATTCTGAGTAAAATAATTTTTAGGGCTTGTGTCAAACCGTTGAGTTTTCACAAAATTTAAAAAATAACGTTTACCATGTAAAACGCTTATAAAATAACTGGGGTAGAAAACAGGTTAGAAAAGAGGTTAGATCTAACCTTCTACCCTAAAATATATTTTTGCTGAATTCAGCACAAAAATCTGAGTAAAATGGCATAAGATTGCTTTCCTCGGAAAAACCGAGAGAAGAGATTCCGTACGAAAACAGTGAAATTTCTCTAGACCGACTTCCTTCGGTCTTGCATAAAACTCATGAAAATCGTGAAAAATTGCGACCCAGACTTTTTTCGGGGTCGCCAAAACTCTATGAAAATCATGAAGAACAGCGAGTAGGTAAGAAACCTTAGTCGCCTAAAACTCTATGAAAATCATGAATTTCCTTAAGATAGAAAAAATAAAGTTAGTTTTATTTTTATTTATTTTTTTATTTTGTATGTAAAGACAGATATGTCAACAACAGAGAACACAACAACAGTTATAGTCCATGAAGCTATAAATGAAGAATATGAGTGGGTTCAGTTTAACAAACAACTCCGTCTCATTCGTTCGGTCAAAGACGATATGTACCAAATGCAAAGTATTTTGACAGCATGTTTTGCTCCAGATACCAAACATACAGACGATTGGTTCAAAAACCAAAGCACACAAGAACTTTTGAGCGAAGCACAGCGAGACCGACTTCCTTCGGGGTCGCCTAAAACTCATGAAAATCGTAAAAATTTGCCAAATGGTTTGAGAGGTTGGTATGTACATAGACTTCTTGTAAATGCTGTTGCAATGTGGGCTTCGCCTCGTTATGCATGGCATGTTTACAGACTTCTTGACGAAATTCATAGACAAGAACGTGAAGAGATGGAAAAGAAACTTCATGCAAAAGATGAAGTCATTGAAGCAAAAGACAAAAGCATTCAGAAAAGAATACCACGTTCGGTACCAAAAGGAAAGGAAAAGAACTATAAGTATATGATTTATACTGAAGAGATGGAAAATGAAGAAGATAAAGATATGGTTATGTTGCATTTAGTCAGAAGAAACAACAAAAGCTTTTACGACCTTGCTAAGATTTACAAATCTGACAGAAATTGGTTCTATCGCGAAAACTTACCGATTTCAATGACACCGAATGAAGATGTGAAACAAATAGTTCAAGATACGTTACCTCAAACACACTATGATATGAAAGGTTGTACAATACTTACATTCAAAGAAGATTTGTCATTGTTAAAGGAAAAAATAACAGAGTATTTTGACAACTTCAAACAAGCAGAGTAAATGAACCATTTATTTTTCAAGCTTGACTTCAGATGGCTCAAGTAGCTCAATTAGGTAAATTGCCTCGTCAAATCCTTCTGGCATTCCGAGTCCTTCCATCCGACAGAAAAAGTTTTTCCCGACGACAGAAAAATATTTTCCCGACAACTGGAAAAAAATTTCCTTCCGACAGGAAAAATTTTTCCCGACGACAAGAAAAAATTTTCCAGTTGTCCGTCCGTAAACCATTCAAATTTTCGAAAATTGAGAACTTTTTGGTCGAACTTCAGGAAAAGTTTTTCCTTCCAACAGAAAAAAATTTTCCTTCCGACAGGAAAAGTTTTTCCCGACAACTGGAAAAGTTCTTCCTTCCGACAGGACACAAACGAATGTCTCACGTCCCTCTTCCTGAATGCCTTCCAAAGCCAGAAGAACCGACAGCCCCAGCACCACAACAGACTTACTAAGACTAAACACTTACATTTTTCAAGCTTGACTTTTTACAATTTGAACTTTGTTCGCGTAGATATGAATTCTGAAAGAAGTATGAGGGTCTTGTATGACTTTGTACTTCTCCCATAGTTCATATCTGTCAAACTTACCTGCCATGGACTCTTTCATAAGTTCCATGAAATCGTCTTCGGACAATCCGGGGAAAAGTACAATGTCAGTAAGTATTCTTTTAACATCCTTACTTAAACTCTTTGCTGTCTGTACACAAATGACAACTGAGATGTTAAAGTGTCTGAGCTTCTTAAGAATTCGACACATATCTTGTTCTCTATTCTTTAACAAAGGATGAGAAGCAAAGTCATCTAAGATAAGAAGACATCTATGAGGGTATGTCTTCCAATCGTAAGATTGCAATTTCTTCGAAATGTATTCTATCTCTTTCTGTTTGTTTCTGAAGTGTTTCTTCTCTAATATTCTCTGCATTTCCTCATTTGGGTCTTTAAACTTAGAATTTATATACTCATTTATAGCATTATACTTCAAAACTCTTCTTTGGTACTTCTTTATCCAATCTAACAACTCAGAGTCTTTTATACATACTAACTTAGACTTCTTTATAATATCTTTGAACGAATTGACGGTTTGGTCAAATTGACCAGAAGTACTACAAATGACAACTAACTCATAGAATGGGTTCTTCTCATCTAGTTCTTGTTGTTGTGCAGCCATTTTAAGATAAGTGAAAGTCTTACCCGACCAGGTGGTGCAATTAGACCTGTTATACCATTCTGAGCAAATAAGAACTTGTCATGTATAGGCTTTATCTGAGCATTTTCTAATTTCTTCTTGTTCTTCTTCAAAACATTCTCAAATTTCTTGTCAATGTCAGCAAACTTTTTTTCTAACATATTTTTAGAAAAATTAAAATTTTTATCTTTTAGAAAATGTCTAGCGATTTCGCTATCTATATTCGAGACAAACTTTTTGACAGCAAAACATCTGTCGACCATAAAATCTTACATAGTGTAAACAAGAAAGGTGAATTTGTTCTAAAGTTCTGTTTCTGGGAATATGACAAGAACCATAAAACATTACAAAGAGCAGTCTTAAAATTTGTCAATGACAGACTTGTTGACAGAGATGACGCCGATTGGAAAGATGAAGTCCAACAAAAGTTCTTAGAATGCAAAGAAGACACATGCGCTGTTCTTGAAGATGAAATAGAAAACAGAATAGATGAGCTATTAAAGGACAAAGAACTTTTACATAAATATGGTTGCGCCAAATTTGACATAACTCCACCAGAAAAGAAGAAGAGAGAAAAGAAAGAAAAGAAAGTAAAAGAAGAGAAGAAAGTAGAAGAGAAGAAAGAACCTGAACCAGTTCCAGAGAAAAAGAAATTTGACATGTAAAAATAAAATTTTATTTTTAGAACATTTCTGGGTCAATGTCAATGTTCTCTTCCTCTTTAGGAGCAAACACTGGCTTAGACTCTAAAATCTTTTTACCCAATTTACCTTGAACTTCAACTATCTTAGACTCATAATATTCATAGTCGTCTGTCTTCTTTGGTTCATAAGGTATAACAAGTTTGTATGCTTTGCCTTCTTTAAGGTTTGAGAACCTTCTGTCAAAACTTTCTTTGACTGCTAACAAACCTTCTATGTCTAAGTCTTCAAATTTCGCACCATTTTTAGTCACAATAGCAAACTTAACTGGTTCGATGTTCCAAACTTTGCTGAATGAAGACTTTTCAAAATGGTAGAAGTAAACATTCAAATATGTGAATGGGTCTAGTTCTTCTTTAAGTCCTGACATGTACTTGTTTACTGAGATGAATTTTGCCATCTTTTCTATCGGATAAAAAAATATTTTTTTTAAATTTACTCATAAAAAATTTTTCTTTGTATATACACCATTCTGTACGTCTAAAAGACTTTTGACATTTGCCAAGAATGTTCGTTTAGACGCTGTCATATAACCATATTCTTGACAATATTGTTTATACGAATCGTACAATGACCTTTCATCTAAACACTCAAAGTCAGTTTCATCTATGAACAGTTCATATACACTCTTGTTTGCTTCTAACAATGTTTGTCTCTCTTCGGTATGTGGAATTTGTCTTGGATTGAACTTTGAAATATCTAATGTCATAAAATATGAGAACAAGTGGTTGTAAAAGTCAGATGTCAAAGTTTCTGCTAAGTCGTCAAAATATTCTGTATCTTGCATATGAGAATCTGACGTTCTGACAACTACATATCTTCTGTCAGAACTTTCTAACTTCATCGGAACAACATTGTTTGAAACCATAATGAAGTTTGCAACATTTTCACAAACTCTTTGGTCTTTATACTTTCTTTCAACAACTCCAACTTTGTCTGTTATAAGACTCTTCAAAGCATCTGAGTTCAAAACTTTTGTTGTATCTATACTTTGAAGTTCATTGCAAACTATAAGTTTCATATTCTCAATTGAAGAGTTAAATTTACCGCAGATGTTTTCTAAGTTTGTCATATTCGGGTTCGAATAGCCCTCTAATAGTTTGCATAAGATATCTGTAAAGAATGTGTTCTTACCTGTTCCTTGTTTTCCAATTATAATGAGAGCAGTTTCATTTTTAGCACTTGGATGTTGTAAGATGTTTGCAAACCAACATAAGATATACTCATAGACTCTTTCGTTTCCATTGCATATAATTTCTTTGACATGGTCTAACCAAGCTTCTATAATATTTTCTTTCCATTCTACTTGTTCGTATATTAATCCAGTGAAGATAGAATAGAAGTTTGGAGAAGGTGTATAGAACTTTATACCTCGAACTGAAAAAATCTTCTAACTTTGACAATAAGATATCCCAAGCATCTAACATCTTCATGCCAACTTGTACGACTTTTATTTTCTTAAGTTTCTGTCTACATTCTTGTTCAGACACTATTGTTGCTCTTGGTTTGTTAAAGACAACATCCCATTCTTTCATGACATAACATTCTGGGGCAGAGTCGACATAAATGACTAAACGTTTCAAATTCTCGACTGCTTTGTTATAGTCTCGAAATGGACACATATTTCTGAATGCTTGGAAGTCATAAAAATCTGAAACATCTATTCTGTACATTTTTATAAAAATAAAAAAAATATTTTTTTTTATTCTTGACTTTTGTTGTTCCATTTGTTGCATTTGTTGTTCTTGAGCTATTTGTTGTTGAAGTTGTTCTTGTAATACAATACTTTCACCAGTTGCATCTTCCAATTCGAAACTTTCTGCCGTCATTGACAAATACATAGGACATAAAAGTTTTACAGGAACAAAGTTTGCGTCAACTAATGTCAACGTTATACTTGCCAAAAGTGTTTGAGTTCACTAAGGTTGAAAATTCTGCATTCGAATGAACAATAGGCAAACCAGCAGAGAAAGTATTGTTTATACGCATAAGTATCTTTTGGTCATAATAGTTTCTGTCGACATTCGAATAACACTTTGAACCTAAGTTTGAAACAATATATAAGATTGGTGTGCTTAATGTCAATGGAATAGACATTCCTTGTATGACACCTTTTCCTGTTATAGGAAACTGTTGGTAGTAAAAACCAGAAATAAGTTTTGTATTATAGCTCATATCGTTTATAGTAAAACTCAGTCGGACATCCAAACATAATGAAACCTGCTCTAGTTGCAGCACATGTTACCCTACTTAAAGTATTAAATAAGTCAACAAAACCTGTTGGTGGTATATCTGAGTAAGTATCTTCAAAGGAGTATTTTTTACCATTCACAACAATAAAGTCTTCTGGTGTCAAAAGAGCAAAACAGGCTTTAGTCGTCATTGTGTTTAAAGTTAGTTTACAATACCGTCCTTGAGGACTTTGTAAGTTTGTTGTTATAGAATTATATGACTCAGGGTTTTTAGTCGTAATAGTATAAACCATTATGTCTTCTGCCATTTATATATATTTAAAAGTTTTTCTGAAAGTGGAGAAGAACTTCATCTAAACTTTCACATGGCGTTTCTTGAAGTTCTCTGTCTAAGAAGTTCAAATATTTTGTAAAGACATAGAACTTTCCTTTGTCTACACGAACAAACAAAACAGGGTCTTTCATATCGTTCAAAAGTGTGTAAAGTCCTTTACATGAAATAAAGTCTATATTATTTTTCTTCAAACATCTTTCAAGAAGTTTTGACATTTTTACTTAGCAAATAAATTTTAATGAAATGTTGTGGTCGTCAAATATTTTTATGACGTCTGGGAAACTATACTTTAAGTTCAACGTTTCACCTCCTTTCATAACGTATATCTTGTCAATGACATTATATGAAACACCACAGCAACTAATGTCGGGTTCTATTTCTTTGATGTTTATATCGTCTGCCTCTGTCAAAAGTTTCAATAGTTCTTTCAAAACTTCATGAGGTGCAATGACATATGAGTTCACTTTTACAGGGTTGTGTTCGACCAAGTTTAACATTATACCTAAAGCTTGACAAATCTTCTCCTGAGTTTGAAGTTTGTCTTTAAGTTGTTGGTAGTCGTTTCGAATATCTGCAACAGAACTTAAGTCTCTGCTAACTTCAGGATATGTTGGTTGTTCTTTTACAGGAACAATTGTATACCATCTTCGTCTTCGTATGGTTTCCCCACTTCAACATCTCTGTCTTTGACATTGACAACAACACTTTGACTGTTTGTTTGAGTTGGTGAATTTAACTTCACATCTGCCACCGCCATTAAACCTTTTGAAACACTTACGCTTCTATTTTTCGGAAATGACATTTTACTTAGAATAAAAAGATGGACGTATTCGAGTATCTCTTCGAATTGAAGCAGAACAAAGTTTACACACACAAACAATACAAATACATTGACAGAATAGTTCTTTATACAAACAATGGTAAATGTTATAGAATAGCAATATTTGCTGAACCAAAATTTTTCATAAAGCAAAGAAAGTTGGTATAACTGAAATGGTGAAAGTTCTTGAGACAAAAATATAACTTCAAAACTTACAGATATTTCTAAAGGTAAGTTTATCTTACAATATTATGTCAAAACTGGCGTACTGTCAATATTTGACGGAGAGAAGTCAGTTCAAGAACAACTTACTGACCTGCTGCCAAAATCTGCTCGATGGAAGCTGTCGTTATGCCAATCTGAGGAGCCCCAGCAGGTTTCATCGAACGAATCTTCAAAAGAGCATCTTCCGTGAAAAGTGCTATTGGTTTTGTAAACTTCTTTGCTCTCAGTTCATCTGGACCGTCTCTGTCACCAGTATATTGTATTTGTACAGTACCAACAGTTGAAATACCACCCATAAAGTCTTCTGAGTCAGCAAATGGAATGCCAAGCCAAAAGTTTGAACGGTCTCCATTTGTATATTGAGTTTTTTGACCTCCTGTATGAGTCCATACTTTCACATATGGCATAATAGAACTTTGCATTTCAGGGTTAATGGTTGTTGTGAAGTTGTTGTTAAAGTTCATAGCATCTAATGTCAAGTTGTATGACCTCATATCCTCAACTGTAGAATATTCTTCTCTTGGATAATATTTGCCATCTATGTTTATATGATATTTAATACCGGGTTGTAGAAACAAGAATAGTCATTTATAGTTCGTCTGAACAGTACAAACATAGTATCTGCATGTTTCATTGCAGTTGTTAAAGCAATATCTGTTCTTGCACCTGGGTCAGCACTTTGGTTTCCAACTTCACCTGCAAAGTCTTTG